TTTTTTGGATCAAATCCATTTTAATAGAATTTATATACTATTCATCTATTAGTAAACACTACCGTATATTATTTCTTAAGCTATCTTATTTTTTGAACTTTTATTCAAATCTTTGGTCGCAAGAAGAATTGCATGATAAATAAAAACATTTAATCAAAGTCAATTTTATTTTTCATATTCAAATGGACTGAGTGTTAACATTTAACGTTTTTTGCTAATTGTCGTCAAAAATTAGGCGTAAAGCAAAAATTGATATTTCATATGGTTTTATGATAGAGAAGCATTATATTCCCACTCATTATATTCGTAAATTTTGAGGTTTATCATTCGCTTTTAAGATCATTGAATTTGATTTTTATATAAAATAGTTATATATTAGAAAATAATATGAGTTTATGTGATATTATTTTTCAGAAGATTTTGTGTTCTTCTTCAAAATTTTATTTTTTTATTAAAAAGAATCTTTACAAAATATACATTTACTTTAATTAATATTTAAAAACGTGCTCTATCAAAAGTTCCAAAAATTCAATATTTTAGCTTTTCTGAGGTGTCACTTTTGATGAATTTCTGTTTACAACACAACTATCATCGGCAAATGCACCGAAAATTATTTTGAGTAATGAAGCGTTATTTGGAAAAGCAAATAGTGAGAAAAATATTGTAGCTGAGTCAAGAATTGTTGTAAACTCTGTATTTAGGGCCGAAAAGAAGAAGAATAGCAAAGGTTGCGGCTGAAATAACGGATTGAATAGGATATCCGAACGTCTGTATATAGAAATGCCTTTTGTAATGCATAAAATCTTTGCTAGATAATATGGATCGCAATAAATTTCGTCTAATTTTCTTAGATTATTGATTGTTTCATTGGGATTGACATTAAACAATTCTGCAAAGTTAGAAATTTGAGAAGGTATTTTCATATCATAAAGTTGCTCCTCAACTGGAAGATATAATGAAAGCTTCTCATCGATCAAAGACATCGTAAATACTACGAAACTAACCGTAGGTTCTCAAAAATTAAGAACTGTCAAATGTCAAACCTTTTCAAAAAAATTATCACATAACTTGTTAACAATAATCCGAAAGCAACACATGCAATCCGTTCAGCATTTGATGCTAAAAAATGACTTGGGTATAAAAAATTTACGACGGATAAATATTTTTTGAGATTAAATTTAGTTAAAAATACTTTTTAAAACAAATACAATCGATATTATTTCTGAGAATAAAATTTTCATTATCAATTGAATTGAATAAAAGGTTTTTTATCCAAAAGTTGCATAAAACAAAGGTACATTCACTAGGCGATAACAGTAAAATGGGATGAAAATAGGATAAATAGCATCCCTATATAGTGCCTAACAATATTTATACGGGCCAAAAAAATTTGGCTAGAGATTTGGCGAGTTATAAAACTTAGAAAATTTAGACGGATTTTTATTTTTGAATTTTTTTTGGAAAGTTAAAATTGCGATTAAAAATCGATTTCCGGGAGAACTAAGCATCTCATCATATATTTAAATCGATAAAAATATTAAATAATAGTTGAATAGTATAACTACGTGAAATTATGGCTGAATATACAGAAAAAATGAACATATTTGACATTTTTGAAAATTCATACGTTAGATGGTGACAAACTCATAAATTATACTTTAGCTAAGATTGATATATGGTTTCAACAACACATGGTTAAAATCGTAAAAATATTTTAGATTTCAAAAAGATATATATGGTAATATAATGGAACAGAGTCAACAAATAGCATGTAAAATATGTTATAATTAACTTTTTATTAGATCTAATAGTATATATCGAATGGTTTCCAGCTTTATGGTTAATTATTTTCTTTTCGAGCTTCTCTTTAACTGTTGTATTAAGGTTGTAAATTTTTGATGCTAGAAACTATGGAATCTTCTTTGCTGCTGCATTTTTCTTGAGAGTTCTTGCAATTTTGAATATATCTGCGCATTGTATGAAATGGGGGCTTTAAAATCTCTTGAATCATAATAGGACTGCTTTTCCAAAGGAATGCTTATTTGTAAATCAGAGAGTTTCAAAATTGAGTGCAAGATTATCATCATAACTTAATAATTTTGTAGCGTTTTTTAGAAAAATGCGAAGGGAGCGCCAGCGATCCCTTCGCATTTTTCTAAAAAACGCTACAAAATTATCATTCTCAATTGAATGATGAATCGAAAGAATTTTGTAGCGTACGATTATTTTCCCTTGAAAAATAAATTAAAAATTTTTGTATATTTAATCATACTGTTTAATGAGCATCCTAATTTACTAAAAATAAAAAGACGATAGAAAATATTCAAAAAACTTGATGGCTTTAGATAGTCTTTTCGAGGAGTAACTTTTTCAGTGAATCGTCGAACGCTATCCACTCTCATAACATGTCCTCTTAATGTCCAAGGATATGCAACTTTTATCCCCATATTCATTGATCTTCCAAAATTTCAATATCAAATTAGGCTTCAAAGTTCCAAAACTTTAGCCATGAATAGGATGTCAATCTTAAAGTCATTTCCTACCTCCTTCATACATGAAATTAAGAATAAAAGTTAATTTTTTAAAGTTTTTTAGTGATAATTTTTTCAATGGAAAATAATCGTATGCTACAAAATTTTCGATTACTGATCGGGTGAGAATTTTGATTTTGGTGCAAAAAAGGAAGACAAGCTATTAACAAATCATTTACTGTTGTTCATCAAAAGAAGAAAACTTTGATAACAACTAATGATGATAAAATCAAGCTATCTTTTAATATTTTAAATTGATAAGACATTCAAAATATTTGAATGGTTTAAAATATTTTCTTTTAATTTCTATAAGATATTATCATGATTATATAATAAAATTTAAATTTTTATTCAAAAAGGCAATATTTCAAACTTTTAATTTCAAAAATCTTAATTCTGCAATAAGTGTATTTAATTGTAGCAAATTTAATGATCCTTCGTCATGCTTAGCAATTTGGAACTCATAAATTAATGATTTCTTCAAGTAAAATTCTGCATTATTTCAAAAGTCAATAATTCTCTAGTAACTTTTCTTCAAACCCTAACCATTATATTATAGGTATAATGGAGAATAATTGCAAAGAAAGATAGCCGAATTTACTGGGTAGTTCTTGTGATGCGAAATAATTGCAAATTAACACCTAGTTTTAACAGCATCAATCTCTTTTTGCTCTCATTTAAATGCATTCGCACACTTTAATTTTGAAATATAAGAGTTTTGGAAATTATCAAATTTATCTGCTCAAATACTATAGATCTTGATAAGTGTTAATAGAATCATTAGCCTTACATATAGTGTTTAATATAATGATGCACATTATACTGGGATTCATTCCTTATTCATCTAGTTATTATAAGATTTACAACCCCATGAAAATTTAAAATTTTGTCAAAAATAGTGAATGTACCTTTCATAAAACATGAGCCGTATCAATATTAAATAATTCAATGACGGCCAAGTAATAATAGGAACTTTTATCTGAAATTATGGGGTTTATATTTTCGTTTTGGAGTGAACCATTGATATGGTGGTTAAGATACCTTAGGATTTAGAAATTCGAGGTACATTCATGGTTTTATTCCAAACAAACAAATAAGGTGTAAGATTTATTCACCAAAATTTAAGATAATTGATATATGTATGAATCTATTTACCAATTACAGATCACTCATGAGGTTAGATCCAATGTAGTGGTCATTAGAGCAGGATCGTAAAAATGTTGGATTCTAAAAACATTAATTCATCTATTTTGCAGGATCATTCTCAGTAGATAGAATGACTCATAATTACGGAACAATTACGCAAGAGCATCGCACATTTGAATTTGTTTTTCCTTTTTTAATATAATGTCGGCTGGCATTTGCTTTGACACGAGCTCATGTAATTCCGATAGTAGTGATTGCCTAACAAACGCAATAGATTTTTTATGAGAACTTAATAATGACGTATCAAGCAAAGATATTGCTAAGGCACTATTCTCTTCCTTTTGGTTCTGCAAACTTTGCTGTACTTCTTCATATTGCTTAGTTAACGCTTCGACATTTGCTCTTAAAACACGGAGAGTTTTTTGATTAGAATACGATGGAGTTTCATTATACAACGCATGTTTTTTCTTAAATTCGTCTGATAATTGCTTCTTTTCCTGTTTTAATTCTTTAATTTCTTTTTCATCTTGCTCTAATGCTGATTTAAGAAGATCTCTTTTCTCTTCTAGCTTAGATAGTTTGATTTTGAGTTTGTTTAAAATCGTAATGAACGATTCATGATCTTCACTATCAAGCATATTAATCTAATGACACTTTTTAACTAAAATATACATAAAAATCAATAATATTCAGTGAAGAAATTAATTTTTCGTTTTAATTTAAGGAAAATGACATATTTTTAGAAATTTGGAATTAAATTTATGGAATAAGTGATCATTTCATAAGCGAAAAAGATCATATTGCATTAGGATATTATAAATAAGAAATAAAAATCACTCAAATAACAAGAAACGATATCGCAAGAAAAAAAAAAGAAGTGAAATGCAAGGATGGATGAGATATCACTTCTTTGAATCAAAATCAAATGATATACAGAACTGTGATTTTAGCACATATAATTGTGCATGCTCTTTTCAAGGAAATTTGATTTTTGGAGATGATTCCGGATATTTAACTTACATTAACAACCCAACAAGTGATTTAAATCCAATACAGTTCTTCGATTTGCCAATTAAAAAACTGTTGACACCAACTGAAATATCAGCTATTCTGATTTTGGCAAAAAATTCAACAAATTCAGCAATTTTACTTGCAAATCCAGAATTAAACGAAACGTATAGCATTGTAGAGTTTAGAGATGATAAATACATCGAGCCATCCTTCTTAACAATACTAAATGATGCTTCTTTTCTTGCATTTACACATGATTATCATACAATATCAATTTACAAAGTTCCTGGTATAGAAGCCAAGAATAAATCAATGGTTCTCTTCAAACAACTCGAAATTTCTCAAAAAATTACAAATTTGCATTTTTCAAAAGATAATTTCGGAACAATCGCCCTTTATTATACAACAGAGTCATCTATTGGCTGCTATACATTACAGAAAAATACCTTTTCGCATATGCAATTCGAAGAATTCGGAGTTCCGACAGAATTATCTTGCATTGTTAGTAACGGAAGATTGGCGATATGCACTGATACTAAAATATCATTTTACACACCAAACGGTATTGATCTGAAGTTCCCTTCCATTGAATTAGACAGTTCCCCTTATAAAATCACTTGGTACCGTGAATATCTCATTGGATACTTCAACAGTAGATCAGATTCACTCAGAATATACCAGTTAGATACTCATTGCGTGTTTGGAACCTCGAAATTTGGAAAAGAATCTCAATTTACACTTTTTGAATGGGGATCCGTAATTTTAGTACGTATTCCAGGCAAACTTACCATTCTTACAGAGTTTTCCATCGAAAAGAAGGTAAATGTCCTTTGTTCGCAATCAAAGCAATTTGAAGTCGCTTTGAAGCTCTCCAAGATGCACAGGATGTCAGAAGAAACAGTAGCAGAGATACACAGACAGCTCGGCGACTCAAGGCTTCAAAAAAGAGATTATGACGGAGCAATATCCGAATACATCGAAGCCATTGGCTTTTTAGCACCATCATATGTAATTACTTTATTCCTTGAGCCACAACATGCCGAGTATTTGATCCGATATCTCGAAGCTCTTCATGATCGTAAATTAGAAGACAGTAGACATACAACGTTGAGGTTTAATTGCTATACGAAGCTAAAGAGGACCGATAGTATTAATAAAATTGTCGAACAGTGCGTCTCAGAAGCCAATGAAGGAAAAGATCCGAATTTTGACGTAGATTCCGCTGTAGATGTACTTAAGCAAGGCGGATATATCGAACAGGCAACAAAAATAGCACTTGCCTACGAGAAGCATATAACTTACTGTTCAATTATGGACGGGATTTCGGATTACAACGCGGTCTACCGGCAAATGAAGGTGATGCCCCCTAAAATTTTGAATTATATCATCATGAATTACGGCATGAAAATTTTACACGCTTTCAGTGAAGAACAGAAGAAGGAGTTCACAGAATACATTGGAGACTCTTGTTGCCAAACTTTTCGTGTAAATGAAAAAGAATTTATGTTAAAAGCAGACCAAATCCATATCATCTTCTTTTCCCTGTTTACGAACTTATGTTCATAAGAATCATTTCAGAAAGGAATCCAAGAAGACTAAGCGAAAATTTATGGAATAGATTAATTATTTTAACACTTAACAACGATTTATCATCAATACATGATACAATCGTTAAAGCAAACTACAGATACAATGACGAAAACATTCTTTTCGCATTAAAATTGAAACTAAACGAAATCCGAAAACAACAAAAAAGTGACAACGGGGAAGTAAAAAGTGACAAGAAGGAAAAAGATGAAGAAAATATAATTCAGTCAATAATTATTATATTTGAGCATCAGAAATGCTACAGAGAGGTTTTGTCACTATCAAAACCTAAAAATTATATTGAGATTTGCCAAAAATACGAAATTGAAGATCCATACATCTGGAATGAAGCTCTTCAGAAGGCTACAGAGTCAAATGATAAGGAGAGCTGTAGGAATGTTGTCAGATACGTTTTGGAACAAAATAAAATTCGATTAAACGAATTTCTTCCAATAGTTAAAGGTTTGAAGTCATGCTGCACTCTAGACATGTTCATTGACTTAACTGTTGACAATTTCCAGAAGTTACAAGACGAAATCGATGAAAAAACCGTTAAATTAGAAAAGATTTCGGAAGATGTGCAAAACTCATATAATAAGTCAGTTAAGATCGACACAGAACCAACTCTCTACAGGAAAGGCTTCCACTGCAGCTTCTGTAAAGAGAAAATCACTTATCCAGCGAAATTCTTTAAATGCGGCCATGTTTTCCACGTCCATTGCCTTGGAGATGAAACGGAATTCTGCATGAAGTGCCGTGAGGAGAATGAGATGATGGCAGCGCGTAAGATTGACGAGTTAAAGGAAAGAGAACAACAAACAGTTTTACTTCCAATGATGAGAAATTCTGAAGACGGAATTTCGATTTTGGAAAGTGTTTTGAGGACAGGAATCATGACTAACGAACCTTCAATGGAAGAAGAGAAGGAAATACATGACTTCTTCCAGAGTTTTAGTAACGCAGAAGAGGATTAATTTTTAAATTTTTTTTGTTTGATTTAATTTTTTATAAAAAAACAAATGTAGTATTACTAAATTCTGTTTTATAATGAATACATTCACTCTATAACTTCTATTTGCTTTTGAAGCATATTACTCATTCTTTTAATTAATGTAAGCGTGCGTAAAGAGTCGCTATTTAAGTCAATTATGCCATGAATAAACATTTATTTTGATATTTAGACTTTATTTAAAAAATTTTTAGTCAAGAGATTTAATTCCCCAAAAGAAGGTATGCACTGCGTTTCTATTGTTTTTTCGACAGACTTTTCCTGCCTTCAACAGCTTTTTTTTCTGGGAACTGTCACTATTCTCTTTGAATAAAATTGACGTCATAGGAACGACTCTTAATATGAAAAGTAATCGAAGTAATATCATGATATGGAACTTTTTGTACTGGAAATATTGCCTAAATAGTTGTTTTAAATCTCGATGTAATATATATATATATTTTACAAAACGAATGCAAGTTTTTGAATATCCAATTCATTTTCAGAAATCACTGCATAATGTAGAGGAGATTCTCCTCGATAAATTGAAATAAATATATTAATACCTGGTTATCATTGCTGATTTCATTATCAACTAGACATTGTTATTTTTCGGATGACTTTTTTTAGTCGGATTATTGACAGATTAATGTCAGTTTTTGAAAAATAGAAAACGCTTATCAACAATTTTGGTTAGGAAACAAAGAAAATTTACATTAAAATCATATGAATAGATATATCATGCAATTAAAACAGTATACATCTCGAATTTAAATTGAAAAATGCAAGAAAATTCAGCTGGTCTGATTATTTTGAAAATGAAGTCAGATTTAACCATACAAAGAATGGAACATCTTTATATGACATCAAGAGTTCTAATAATTATCATATTTTCGTTTGCAACTTTGAAGAATGCACAGAAAAAGGTGCCATATATATTGAAAGATCCAATGAAATATTTACCCTAGTTGAAGAAACCATATTTAATAGATGTCAATCCACCTCAAGTGGTTGGTCAATTTATTTTCTATGCTCTGCAGGTCAATTAGTTCAACAGAAAAATTGCTATTATGCATCCATAGCACAATCTGCAATGGCATTTTAGCAATTTCCTAAAGCTTCTGATAATTCTAAAAACTACATATTTGAAGTATCAATCTCTAAGTGTGGAGAAAACGAAGAACAAGGGAGTTATACTGTTTCAATCGCGCGTGGCGATATTTCTTTTGAGGATAATAACATAACAAATAATAAATGCAGTCAATACTCGTCGTTATCTATAATTCTTTGGGGAAAACCAAGCTTATGCAATTTCTCGAATTTCATAGAGAATATATACAAAAAGATAGCGGGTCCCTGAGGTTTGATGTTAATGTTGTTCAAGATCCTCTGATTCATACAGTTTCATATTGCAATGTTATTGGAAATAAATGCGGTATAAGCAGTAGCCAAGTTCTATTTTTTTGTAAATATACTACAAAAGTAGATTACTGCACTTTTTAAATACCATTGCGGGAAAAATGTTTTATGTGAAAGAAGAAGGACATGTACTTACCATTTCACATTCTTTTGTTGAAGAAAAATCGACAGCCACAACAGGTGGAAACGTTATATTTACGAGAGATAAATCAAATTATTATCCTATTCAATTTCCTAATATATTTATTGGAAATTGTTTGATAGATTCGAAAAGATCATCGATTAGATTTTTATATATTCATAAATTTGGGAAAATATTTATTGAAATATTCTTAAGGGTGCACTTACGCCACTATGACATGGCTTTCAATTCATGTGTTTAAGGTTAATTTTCAATGACGCTTCACACCGATTATCAAAAATTTGAATTAAAGTCAGATGGGCGTAAGAGCACCCTAAAAAAAATAAAAATAAAAAATAAAAAATTTACTGTTAAAATTAAAAATGTATAAAAATAGGATAATAATAAAAATAACATTTTTTAATATATTATAATTGAATAATATTATCTGAATCATTGTTCTTATCGGGTAAAATAAAATCTTCGTTTGTGTGACCTTCTTCATCACTATAATTAAGGTCATGGCTTTCATAATCGTAATTGTCACTCTCGACATCTTCAAGACGTGATGTAACAATCTCATCAACTTTCTCAGAAACAATTTTGTCGACTTTCTGTTTAACAAGTTGATCTAACTTTTGTTTAACCATTAAATCAACTTTTTGATTAAGAATAGTGTTTTGATCACCAACTTCAACATCTGGTTTACCATCTTTGGCACACTTCATCTTGTAAACAACAAAGATGACAACAACAATCATGGCAACAATTAAAACAACACCACAAACAATTCCGGCAGTGTTGCCTGCACTGTTACTGCTGCCACCATTGTTGCTGTTGTTTGGATCACTGTTTCCACTGCTGCTGTTTGTAGATGATTCTTCGACGGTATTGTTTTGGCTTGCTGCTGATGAATTAACTGGAGGAGGAATTGGAGTCTTAGGGTCAATTATTGGTGTTTCTTCTTTTTCTGTTGATGAAGACGTAGAACTAGAACTTGTTGTTTCTTCTGATGGAGATGATGAAGATGAAGAAGAACTTGTTGTTTCTTCTGATGGAGATGAAGAAGATGAAGAAGAACTTGTTGTTTCTTCTGATGGAGATGAAGAAGAACTTGTTGTTTCTTCTGATGGAGATGATGAAGATGAAGAAGAACTTGTTGTTTCTTCTGATGGAGATGAAGAACTTGAACTTGTTGTTTCTTCTGATGGAGATGAAGAATAACTTGTTGTTTCTTCTGATGAAGATGAAGAACTAGAACTTGTTGTTTCTTCTGATGAAGAAGAACTAGAACTTGTTGTTTCTTCTGATGAAGAAGAACTAGAACTTGTTGTTTCTTCTGATGAAGAAGAACTAGAACTTGTTGTTTCTTCTGATGAAGAAGAACTAGAACTTGTTGTTTCTTCTGATGAAGAAGAACTAGAACTTGTTGTTTCTTCTGATGAAGAAGAACTGACTAGTATTGTTGTTGTTTCTTCTGATGAAGAAGAACTAGAACTTGTTGTTTCTTCTGATGATGAGGATGAAGAACTTGAAGTTTCTTCTGGCTCTGGAGTTGGTTCTAGGTCATCAAGTACAGTGACATAAAGACCTCCAAGTTTGTCCGAGGTGTATGATCTTGTGACGTAAACATGTTCACAAGAACGTGCATTAACTAAGAAATCTCCTGGAATTGGATCTTTTCCAAGATATGTGAAGTTAAAAATATTGGCTTCTGAAAATGCTGTTTCGTTAATACTAATTCCATTTTGTTCAACTAAAATAGAAACATTATCTGCAGTAACAAAATTATATGGAATGGGGTGATTGTTAATATTTTTGATATGAATGAATGTTAAATTAATAAGATCTTTAAATGCTTTCAGTTCTGAAGTACTTGAATCAGGTTTAGGGAGATCAAAAATTATTGTTTTCGCAGCATTTTTCATGCTCTCTCTATCACCAAAAACAATATCTGATATTGGAGTTTGGAATATTAATAGATCTATTGAAGAACCCACAAAAACAGACATCTGAGAGACAAAGTTTTCAGGTACTTGAACTATTACTTGTTTGATATTTGAGCATTCATAAAATACAAAAGCATCTGAACTAGTAAGACTTCTGGGAAGAGTAATCGATTCAATATTGTTGCAATGTTTAAATACACCTATTCCCATATATGTTACATGATTTAAGTCAACACTTCTGAGATTAGTGCATTCCTCGAATAAATATGGATTAATTCTTGTAACTCCATTTGGAATTGAAACATATAATAAACTACTGCAACCTTTAAATGCACCATCATTGATTGTTGTTAAACTATCAGGAAGTGTGATGTTTTGAAGTTGGCTACAGGATTCAAATGTATATGAACCAATTTCAGTCATTCCTTAGGAAGTGTTAATGTTGTTAATTGACATCCTTGGAAAGCAAAATCTCCAATTGACTTAAGACTTCTTGGAAATGTAAAACTTTCAAGAATAGTACCCTTAAATGCTTGATTTCCGATAGTTTCTACACTATCAGGCAATGAAACTGTTTTGATTGTATTACAACCATTAAATGCGTATTCATCGATAGCAGTTAATCCGCCATTGATTACAATTTTTTCCACTGGACACATAACAAAAGCTGCGATTTGAAGTGATTTGACACTTCCTTGATTGTTAAATTCAATGAGACCTGATTCCATAAAAGCATCTGTTTCAATTATTTCGATTTCTGAATTTATACGTAAATATTGAAGAGCAGTACAACCTCTAAATGCATTATAACCAATAGATTTAATCTTTTGTGGAAAAACAACATTAGTAAGTTTAGAACATCCATAAAATGTATTTTCAGGGATATCATCGAGATTTCCTGATAATTCTACACTTTCCAGTTTTTGACAATAAAAAAATAATTCTATTCCAATTGATTGAACACCAGTAAAGATTACTGATTCAAGATTATCACAATAAGCAAATGCAGATATTTCAATTATTTTCACATTTTCAGGAATAATAATACTTGGAAGGGCTCGGCACAAGTGAAAACAATCTAATGGGATAGTAGTAATATTTGAAGAAAAGGTTACGTTTGTTAGTCGCGAACAGGAATCAAAAGCTGACCTTCCTATCGATAAAACACTGTTAGGAATTGAAATATTTAATAAACTTCTGCAACTATAAAATGCACCATCATTGATTGTTGTTAAACTATCAGGAAGTGTGATGTTTTGAAATTGGCTACAGGATTCAAATGCAGATGAACCGATTTCAGTCATTCCTTCAGGAAGAGTTAATGTTGTAAATTGACATCCTTGGAAAGCATTATTTCCAATTGACTTAAGACTTCTTGGAATTGTGAAACTAGTAAAAGCAGTAAATTGAAATGCAAAGTTTCCTATTGTTTCTACACTATCAGGTAAAAAAACAATATGGAGTTTGTTGAAGTTCTGAAATGTACTTTCATTAATTGCAGTTAGACCGCTATTGATAACAACTGTTTGAAGATTTTGTTCACAACCAGAGAAGGCGTTACTTTTGATTGATTTGACACTTCCTTGATTGTTAAATTCAATGAGACCTGATTCAATAAAGGCTTCGGATTCAATCGTTTCGATCTCTGAATTTATACATAAAAATTCTAGAGCAGTACAACCTCTAAATGCATGAGTACCAATAGATTTAATTTTTTGTGGCAAAACAACAGTGGTAAGTTCAGAAAGTCCATCAAATGTTTCAGAAGGGATATCATCAAGATTTCCTGAGAATTCAACACTTTCAAGTGCTTGACAACTAGAAAATAATGATCTTCCAATTGATTGAACATTAGATAAGTTTACAGATACAAGTTTATCACAAAAATCAAAAACGCGATTTTTAAATTTCAGAGATAAAGATGATGTGAAAGTTTCCATATTTGTACAGCTAAATGCACTGTCTTCAATTGTTCTTACACTATCAGGAAGAGTGATAGTTGCGAGTGAACTGCACGAATAAAAACAATTTGATGGAATAGTGGTAAGCTTCGAAGAAAATGTAACAGTTGTTAGTGACATGCATGCTTCGAAAGCATTACTTCCTAATGACAAAACACTATTAGGTATTACAATTGATGAAATAGATATCCGGGAGAATGCAAATTCCCCAATAGAAGTGACTGAACTCGGAATTATAATATTAGTAATCCCAATGCAAGCATTAAGCAATGCTGGAGGTATTATAGTATTCTTGCATTGAATCACAAGAAAAAAAATGCGTATTCTCCAATTGAAGTAACATTATTCGTCATTGATACAGATTGCAAGTTAGAACAAGCTTCAAAAGCCCTAGCACCTATTTTGGAAACATGATTTGGAATAATAATACTTGTGAGATCTTGGCAATTTAAAAATTGATATTCAGGAATTTCATCCATGCTACTGGGAATAGTGTATTCACCAGAAGGACATTCCGCATAGAAAATTTGAGCGAAGAGATAAAGCATTATTAAAAACAGACAAAATCAATGTTTAAATTTTTTCAATAGAATTTAATTTCGGTTTTTCTATTGTATAAGATTTCTGAATTTAATTTAGTCAAGACCTCAATGCATAATAAAATATCTCAATTCTAGACAAAATTAAAAACGGTTTCTTTAATTCAAAATTTGTTCAGTATTCGTAATATTGGGATATATAACAACTATTAATAAGAGTATTAAATTTAAATGCACAATTTTGTGAGAATATTGAAATAATACCAATACTTTTTTTAGATAATTTTTCTGTTGTAATTTGATTCCATTATTTTTAAACCTTTTGTGTTTGAATCAAAAAGTAAAATATTTTAATAGCTGCTATTTTTCAGAGGCGCAGTAAATTTTGTAAGTTCGATCTTTAAAAAAAATCATATTTAAAATCTCTGAATCATACTATTTTAACGATAGCCATCCACTCGGTGTGTATTGAAAAAAAAATGTCACGCACTAGATTTCATTCTTGCACCTTGTAATCAATTTGGTAAAATTATATATTCAAAAATAGTAAATGTGATTTGAGAGGAAATCTGACAGAAAAAAAATGATCTAAAAGTAAAGCAAAATATTAAATAACATCGGAATTCATATTCGTCACTATATGTAAATAAGTAGTATGGTATTTTTCCAACAATGTTAATAAAAATTAAAATTTCATGTTTTTATAATGATTTGAAAATTTTACAATCTAAGGTCAATTAAAAATATAACCGAGAGTCTATATACTTCGTGCGTCATTTTAATACGATATTCTTAGTATCTTGAAAAATGAAATATTGAATAAATTATAAATAATATTTTATGTAAAAATCGGGAAATGTTATAAAATATATTACAATAATACACAAATCACTTTCGTCATTCAAATTTTATTTGTTTGAAAATTATATAGATATATATATTTATGTTGTTATTCAAATAATAAAATGTGTAATAAAATTCAAACAGATCAAAAATGTGTTAAAATAGAATAGTAAAATAAATAACAGTTTATTAATATATTATAATTGAATAATATTATCTGAATCATTGTTCTTATCGGGTAAAATAAAATCTTCGTTTGTGTGACCTTCTTCATCACTATAATTAAGGTCATGGCTTTCATAATCGTAATTGTCACTCTCGACATCTTCAAGACGTGATGTAACAATCTCATCAACTTTCTCAGAAACAATTTTGTCGACTTTCTGTTTAACAAGTTGATCTAACTTTTGTTTAACCATTAAATCAACTTTTTGATTAAGAATAGTGTTTTGATCACCAACTTCAACATCTGGTTTACCATCTTTGGCACACTTCATCTTGTAAACAACAAAGATGACAACAACAATCATGGCAACAATTAAAACAACACCACAAACAATTCCGGCAGTGTTGCCTGCACTGTTACTGCTGCCACCATTGTTGCTGTTGTTTGGATCACTGTTTCCACTGCTGCTGTTTGTAGATGATTCTTCGACGGTATTGTTTTGGCTTGCTGCTGATGAATTAACTGGAGGAGGAATTGGAGTCTTAGGGTCAATTATTGGTGTTTCTTCTTTTTCTGTTGATGAAGACGTAGAACTAGAACTTGTTGTTTCTTCTGATGGAGATGATGAAGATGAAGAAGAACTTGTTGTTTCTTCTTCTGATGAAGATGAAGAAGAACTTGTTGTTTCTTCTGATGAAGATGAAGAAGAACTTGTTGTTTCTTCTGATGAAGATGAAGAAGAACTTGTTGTTTCTTCTGATGAAGATGAAGAACTAGAACTTGATGTTTCTTCTGATGAAGATGAAGAAGAACTTGATGTTTCTTCTGATGAAGATGAAGAACTAGAACTTGATGTTTCTTCTGATGAAGTAGAAGATGAACTTGAAGTTTCTTCTGATGAAGATGAAGAACTAGAACTTGTTGTTTCTTCTGATGAAGTAGAAGATGAACTTGAAGTTTCTTCTGGCTCTGGAGTTGGTTCTAGGTCATCAAGTACAGTGACATAAAGACCTCCAAGTTTGTCCGAGGTGTAAAATCTTGTGACATACACATGTTCACAAGAACGTGCATTAACTAAGAAATCTCCTGGAATTGGATCTTTTCCAAGATATGTGAAGTTAAAAATATTGGATTTTGAAAATGCTGTTTCGTTAATATTAATTCCATTTCGTTCAACATAAATAGGAACATTATCTGCAATAACAAAATTATATGGAATGGGGTGATTGTTAATATTTTTGATATGAATGAATGTTAAATCAATAAGTTCTTCGAATGCTTTCAGTTCTGAAGTACTTGAATCAGGTTTAGGGAGATCAAAAATTATTGTTTTCGCAGCATTTTTCATGCTCTCTCTATCACCAAAAACAACATCTGATATTGGAGTTTGGAATATTAATAGATCTATTGAAGATTCCGCAAAAAGAGATATATAATAGGGAAAAATTTCAGGTAATTGAACTATAACTTTTTTGATTGAGCAACCATTAAATGTGCGACCATCTGAACTAGTAAGACTTCTGGGAAGAGTAATCGATTCAATGTTATTGCAATGTATAAATACACTTGTTCCCATATATGTTACATGATTTAAGTCAACACTTCTGAGATTAGTGCATTCCTCGAATAAATATGGATTAATTCTTGTAACTCCATTTGGAATTGAAACATATAATAAACTACTGCAACCTTTAAATGCACCATCATTGATTGTTGTTAAACTATCAGGAAGTGTGATGTTTTGAAGTTGGCTACAGGATTCAAATGTATATGAACCAATTTCAGTCATTCCTTAGGAAGTGTTAATGTTGTTAATTGACATCCTTGGAAAGCAAAATCTCCAATTGACTTAAGACTTCTTGGAACTGTGAAACTAGTAAAAGCAGTAAATTGAAATGCAACGTTTCCTATTGTTTCTACACTATCAGGTAAAGAAACAATTTGGAGTTTGTTGAAGTTCTGAAATGTACTTTCATTAATTGCAGTTAGACCGCTATTGATAACAACTGTTTGAAGATTTTGTTCACAACCAGAGAAGGCGTTACTTTTGATTGATTTGACACTTCCTTGATTGTTAAATTCAATGAGACCTGATTCAATAAAGGCTTCGGATTCAATCGTTTCGATTTCTGAATTTATACGTAAATATTGAAGAGCAGTACAACCTCTAAATGCATGAGTACCAATAGATTTAATTTTTTGTGGCAAAACAACAGTGGTAAGTTCAGAAAGTCCATCAAATGTTTCAGAAGGGATATCATCAAGATTTCCTGAGAATTCAACACTTTCAAGTGCTGAACACTCAGAAAATAATGATCTTCCAATTGATTGAACATTAGATAAGCTTACAGATACAAGTTTATCACAAAAATCAAAAACGCGATTTTGAAAAGTCAGAGGTAAAGATGAAGTGAAAGTTTCCATATTTGTAGAGCTAAATGCACCGTCTTCAATTGTTCTTACACTATCAGGAAGAGTGATAGTTACGAGTGGATAGCACAGATAAAAACAATATGAAGGAATAGTAGTTAGTTGCGAAGATAAAGTTACGCTTGCTAGACGCATGCATGCTGCGAAAGCATAAGTTCCTAGCGACAAAACACTATTAGGTATTACAATTGATGAAATAGATAACTGGGAGAATGCAGAGTCCCCAATAGAAGTGACTGAATTCGGAATTATAATATTAGTGATATGTCTGCAAGTATTAAGCAATGATGGGGGTATTATAGTAATACTTTCAGAAAGTGTGATGTCTGTTAGAGAATCACAAGAAAAAAATGCGTTTTCCCCAATTGAAGTAACACTATTCGCCATGGATACAGATTGCAAGTTAGAACAATTTGCAAAAGAATAATTGCCAATTGTGGTAACGTGATCTGGAATTATAATACTTGTGAGTTTAGAGCAATCTCGAAATTGCCCATCTGGAATTGCATTTATGCTGCTGGGAATGGTGTATTCGCCAGATGGACATTCTGGCAATGAAGAAGAATTTGAAGTTTCTTCTGGCTCTGGAGTTGGTTCTTGTTCATCAAGTACAGTGACATCAAGACCTCCAAGTTTGTTCGAGGTGTATGATCTTGTGACGTAAACATGTTCACAAGAGCTTGCTTTAACTAAGAAATCTCCTGGAATTGGATCTATTCCAAGATATGTGAAATTTGTTATATTTAGAGATGAAAATGCTGTTTCATTAATACTAATTCCATTTTGTTCAACCAAAATAGAAACATTATCTGCAGTAACAAAATTATCTGGAATTGGGTGATTGTTAATATTTTTGATATGAATGAGTGATAATACATTGAATTCGCCCATTGGTTTCAATAAAGTGTCACTTGAATCAGAATCTGGGAGATCAAATATAATTGTTGTGACTTTGCAATTAAGAACAAAATTTGAAATCGGGCTCTGATATATTAATGTTTCTATTGAGCACGATTGAAAAACTTTATTCATTGCATTTACATTTTCAGGTACTTGAATAATTACGGTTTTGAGGCTATTGCAATCAACAAAATCTGATCCAAAAATTGTTACAAGAGTACTTGGAAGAGTTACCGATTCAAGGCTGGAGCAACCTTTAAATACAGATTCTCCCATAGCTATCACATGATTAAATGAGGCGCTTCTTAGACTAGAGCATCCAAGGAACATTTGATGATTTACTGTTTGAACTTGACTTGGAATTGTAACATTTAATAAACTTGTGCAATATCTAAACGCGCTTTCGGCTATCACTGTTACACTTTCAGGAATAGTGATGTTCTCAAGTTGGCTACAGGATTCAAATGCAGATTTACCTATTTCAGTTAATCCATCTGGAAGAGATAATGTTTGGAATCCACAATATTGAAATGAAGTTCCACCAAGTTTTTTGACATTTGGCATTGATAAATTAACAAGTTTATCGCAATGTAAAAATGCGCCATTACTAATCATTTCAACATTTCCTAATATTGTGACTTGTTCTAAATTAAGGCAACCCCTAAAAGCATTAGTACCAATCGAAGTAAGTGTACTTGGGAGATTAACTGAAGTTAGAGATGAACAGCTTTCAAAAGAACATATATCAATTGATTGAACTCCAGAAGGAATTGTAACTGTATTTAATGATGAACAAGATGCAAACATGAAAAAAGAAATTGCTGGACATCTTTCAGATAGTGTAGCACTTGTAAGATTAGAGCAACCACAAAAGGCCGTGCTTCCTATAGATGTAACAGTGTTTGGAATTATTAAGTTTTCTATACCAGAATATGAAAAAGCAAAATTTCCGATAGTTTCTAAACTTTCAGGTAATGAAACTGTTTTGAGATTTATGCAATTCTGAAATGCATAATTGTCGATTGTAGTTAGATGATTACTCAAAATTACTTTTGTGAGTTTTTCGCAATCTTTGAAAGCTTCACTTTTGATTGTTTTAAGACTATCCAGAACTAATTCGGTGAGACCTGATAAATCAAATGCTCCTGAATCAATTGTTTCGATCTGCGAAGTTCCATAGAGTCTTCCAAGTGAAGTACATTTATAAAATGCATTTACTCCAATTTTGCTGATACTTGATGGAAACCAAACGTCTATGAGTGAAGTACATTCATAGAATGTATTATCAGGAATGTCCAAGTGATAACTAGTCATGTTAAGGTGTTCAAGTTTCGGGCATTGATAAAATACCGATGTTCCAAATGATTGAAGATCACCTCGAAGAGTTACGGTGTGAAGTTTTGGACATTTATTAAAAACGGAGTTACCAATTGTCGTAATATGATTTGAATTGAACATTTCAATACCCGTCATTTTAAACGCTCCATCTTCAATTGTTCGCACACTATCAGGGATAGTAACACTTTTAAGAGCAGGGCAATAAAAAAAGCATTCATGAGGAATAGTAGTAAGCTGCGATGATAAAGTAACACTTGTCAGAGCGAAGCAAGCAGCAAATGCAGACTGACCTATTGATATTACACTATTTGGAATTGAAATTGATCTAAATATGACACACTCTGTGAAAGCACTTTCCCCAATTGATGTTACTGAACTAGGAATTATAATATTAGGGAGTCTTGAACAAAATTCAAGCATGTGAGGTGGAATTGCTGTAAGATTTTGAGAAAGCGTGAGATTATTAAGGTATGAGCAAGAAGTAAATGCTGCTTCTCCAATTGAAGTAACACTATCTGCCATAAATACAGTTTGTAAACTATAACAATTAGCAAATGCATTATTACCTATTTTGGTAACATGATCTGGGATAATAATACTTCTGAGGGCACTGCAGTCTTTAAAATTTTCGTCAGGAATTTCATTCATGCTACTAGGGATAGTGTATTCGCCAGAAGGACATTCTGCCAAGGCTATTCGCACGAAGAGAAAAAGCATATTATTAATCAAAAAAACAGAAATACAAATTTCCGATAAAATTCAATTTCACTTTTTCATTTGTATAATTGTTAAATATTTTTAAATATTGTAATTAATAATATGATATTTAAAGTATTGACAATATTAGAAAAACCGCTTGTAAAAACATTAACCATTTTTTGAAAGTGATGATATGTATTGAATAAGATACTGATATCTAAAGAGAGAAAATTTGCTTTCTTAGTACATTTACAAAATTGAATTTAAGATAATAAATAATTGTTTGTGATATTGTTGAATCTAATTAAATATATTTTAACGATTGAAAATCCAAAAATTTCAGAAGGAATAGAAAAAAATGCCAAACAAATTTTTCACTTAGCATTTATAAGTGAGGTTAATATTATGATGTTATAAATACAGAAAGAGATATAAATATTATGGACAAAACGAAAACGGTTTCACTCGATACTTATCGGATTTTTTTTTTGTTAAATTGTGACACACACAAAATGTTATGAAACAACAACATGGAGCGTAAATTTTTTTCAATGAACCGATAATCTATGATTGGTCAAACCGAAAAAGATCAAAAATAGAAATTTAGGATCCAATTTTTACTGAGATCAAAAATGACAAAGACGATACTCATGACTCGGTATTGAAAAAAATTACATGGTCTCAATTTAAATCGTATAGATGATATTGATATATCGCGGAATATGAAAGATACTGACAGGTAAAATTTACTTACGTGAGATAAGGAGAATAAAACAACTACGGTAATGCAATAAATGCAACATTATGAAAACAATTATTTTTTATTACAAATATATACATTAAAAAATATTGTTACATTGATGAAGATCGATATTTTATAAGTGGTTTCTTTTTATTTTTCATTCCTTTTAATTTCGCTAAAAGGAGTCAGAATTAATAAAAAGTTCCTATGCTAAAAGAGAAACTGTTTATCTGTAGTTAAAGTTAAATCATTCGTAACACGAAATTTTGAGATTTTACGTATTTGTCAATTTCACAGGCGCTCCCACCCGTAACCTCACAAAATTGAGAGTGTTACGAATTTAAGATTTTGGGGCGAAATTTTTAACAAACCTTATATATAACATTGCATAATTTTTTGGGTCCTGGATATTATTTAAAACAGTTGTCCATAGAAACACACCCATACACACATAAAAAAACATTATGGGCGTGCTGCGCACCAATTGATGTTTCTGAAAAATGTCAAAATGAAAAATTCAATATAATTCAGTTATTTCAAATACTAATCATATCCAAATCATATACAACGATCATACATATGATCAGAATGAGCGAATTACGATTGTTGGATATACAAATCTTACTACCTATATGATTTTTTTTTTGAATTTTGAATAGTTTACAAAATTTAAAATCGGTTTTATTTCGTTCTCTTATCAAAATCAAGCGCACACTTCAAAAATTGAAACAAAAAACCTCCAGGACAGGTCAAATTTCTGGATAAGAAGTTTTCACAAGACATCTTTATTAATCAGGATAACTCTCATTCTTTGATGATACATAGTTTAATTTGATAAAATCTTCAATATAAAACATTTTATTTGATTTTTATACCATTTTTATTAAGGCTGCACTTACGCCCATCTGACTTTAATTCAAATTTTTGACAACTGGCGTGAAGCGTCATTCAAAATTAATCTTAAACATCTGAATTGAAGCCTGTGTCATAGGGGCGTAAGTGCACCCTTAAAAAAAATAATAATAATAATTTAGACAAAATACATCATTAATTTTGATCATTCCATCCAAAACTTGGAAATGAAAAGATCTGCTAGATCTTTATTATTATTTTTCATTGCATAGTTGATTGGATTTTTTTCGATTGCATCTTTTGCATTAATATTAGCTCCGTGAGAAATAAGAAGTTCTGCTGTATCTTTATTATTTCTCCCTGCTGCATAGTGAAGAGGTGTAGCCTGAAAACCATCTTTCGCATTTATATCAGAACCATTTAAAATAAGAAGTTCGGCAATTTCTTTTTTATCATCATATGCAACCCAATGAAGAAGAGATCTCCCATCAATTGTTTTCTCGTTTATATTTGCGCCATTCATAATAAGAACTTTTGCAACATCTTTACCATTGAACTTTATTGAATCAATAAGAACTGATTTTCCTGCTTTACATTTTGCATTGACATTTGTTCCATGTGCAATCAGAAAGTTAGCTGCATCTGCATTGTTGTATTTTGCTGCGTGGTGAAGGACACTTTTATCATAAAAGTTTATTGCATTTATATCTGCACCAAGCGAAATAAGCGTATCTACAGTTTCAATGCAATTGCGGGATACTGCGCTGTAAAGAACACCATTTTTGTCAAATGCTGAACGGTGGGAAATAAGATATTTTACAATTCTATAATTATTAAATTTAACTGCGAACATGAGAGCAGAATTTCCTGTTTTGTTAGTGATATTGGGATTTGCTCCCTGAGAAACAAGAAATTCAACTATTTCTGAATTATTTCTTTTAGCTGCAATAAGAACAGCAGATTTCCCATGTTTATTCGTTGCATAAATTTTTGCACCATGAGATACAAGAATTTTTCCAATTTCAAGGCAGTTAAATTTTGCTGCAGTATGAAGAGGTGTGTTATTATTTTTAATTGTTAGGTTAACGTTAGCGCCTTTTGAAATAAGAAATTCCACAGTTTCCTTGCTATTGCATTCAACAGCATAATGGAGTACAGATCTTCCAGGCATTACTCTTTCTAAAACTTCAATAGTAAGAGTTTGAGAAAAGAAATACTCGCATAATGATGGAATATTAAATGATGGTGAATAATAAAAACAATCTCCGATGGCATTGTATTTATCCAAATAAACAAAAAATGTTTGGAGATTATAGTATTCTAAACATGTTTTTATATCAATTTGAAGATCATAGTTATCCATCAAGAAAGTAACAAAATCAATGTTGTGCGAAATTATTGCATTTGTCATGCAAACTTTGTTAGGCTTTGCATCTTTCAAGCATTCACTCATGATGTCTGGATTTCCACTCAAAAAAGATTATTGATTTAAATGTTGTTCTTAAAAACTTAAAACATTTGACTGCGCCGTGATAACAACATAATTCAAGTAAAGATAATGTCTTGCATGGAGAAAATGGACTTGTAAGATGCTGTAACCTATCAAAATGCTCACTTTCTGTAAACGAGATAAATGATTGTATTTCATCATCCATAATTGCTCTGAAAATAGTGTTTTCTTCATGTACATCGATTGAACAATTATTATTTTCTAAGTTTTTTAATGTTTCACCTGGAAAATTCTTTAAAAGAATTCCATATTCTTTATAAATAAGGTAATAAAATGGATTTGTAGTTTTATTGCTCAATTTTGGGTGCTTATCTTTTTTAACAAAATAAAAATTGTATTTTGAATCTTTTTGTATCTCTTTTGGATGGTATTCGTCGTATATCTTTTTGAAAAGCGACAGATATGGTCTAGTGTAGCGGTTTCTGTATAGTGTTATTTTGCTGATAGTATCAATAATCTGTTCGAGAGAGTGGCGTTTGGTATCAATCAGGTTGGTCTTGATTTTAGAATATAACTCGTTAATTTCTTGTTCAGCGGATGATTTAAGCTGGAACAAAGAATTGAATGTTTGATAGTAGTCTTGATACAATTCAAATAGTTTTAAATGATTATGGTCTGTTGCTCATTGTGGCTTCATTAGAAAAACAATATCTAGTTTTGACCTGAAAAAACATTACAAATGAATATCAATCATGGAGTAATTAATTTTATGAGACTAGATATGGATTTTATCTTTTTTTTAAATTGAATTTTTTTGGGAAACAGTTTTATTACCAAATTTAGGGGAAATATATTTGGAATTGAAAATTATGATGGGTTATTTAACTATAAAACAGTTTTTATTTTAAATTAATATTGACATAAAAATAATTAAGAAAAATGATAAGGTATTATGCCTTAGGCTCTTCTTTTGTTTCTTGGACTCCTTCTTTAGGGAGAATTCCGTACAATTCCATGAGAGAATCTGTTTCGTAAGTTGCCTGCTTCAAATCAGCAGGCTTTGATGTATCCTTGGACTTAAATAAGCCGCGCAATAATTTTGGTGATCTTCTATCGATTTCTTGATTGACAATAGTGAGTCTGTTTTTGACATCTTGAACAAAATTGTAAAGAGCATCGATGGAAGAAAATATTGTTTGTAAATGCTTTGCTAATAGCTCTGGATTCTCAAATTCGCCTGCTTTTGGAACTTCTTCGAGTAAAACCTGGAATTCTCGTAATCTGCTTTCAATGCCATCGAATTTTTGGCCTTCTTTTCCTTCAAAGCGCTTGATTGCTTCAACATCTGGTCCAATGACATTAGTGACAAAATCGCAAATGTCTTCTAAAGTCGGAACTTGTTGGGATTCTTCCATTTTATTCTAAAAGTGACAATTCTCTCCCTCACTTCATTAACGGCAAACCCAAATTTTAGCTAAAAGTGACAGGGGAAAAAAACGTTTAGTATTAAAAAAAAGACCGATGAGAGCTTCGTTCGAAATATAGAGGGAACTGAGAATGCGCAACCATTCTCAGGGAATATTGGATGCTATTCCCGTTCCCTCTGTATGGAAAATTGAGGTTTTCAAAGGGAGTTAAAATAATATCAAATTTATACTAATTTACTTCAAAATACAAAAGTATTTGACAGCTAAAATTAGTTACTTTAGCAAGCCTATCAATACCCTTTTACGATTATTGTTACTTTTTCGAAATAAAAGTAAAAACAAATTTATACTAATTTACTTCAAAATACAAAAGTATTTGACAGCTAAAATTAGTTACTTTAGCAAGCCTATCAATACCCTTTTACGATTATTGCTACTTTTTCGAAATAAAATAAATTTATTATCAAAAACCTTTTTTTTTCTTAGTAAAAATAAACGAAATTTTTTACCTTATGAACTTTTGATGGAAATATGCAAATTTAAAATAATAAAGAAAGCCGCGAGCGAAGCGATCGGCTTAGTTCGAAGATTTTGATTCAAATCTTTGCTGATCTGTAATTCGCGGAAGCCGCGAGCGAATCGAGCGGCTTAGGTCTAAGATTTTGATTCAAATCTTTGCTTATATTCCTTAAATTCTTTATGAAACTCGCAACAGTTCCATAAAAAATTTTAAATTCTAAACTGTCGAAATTACCGATCGGTAATCACACCCTTCACGGGTGTGTCACTTTTTACAGGCGTGTCACTTTTAGCTAAAATTACCCCTACTCCTTCATTAACACTGCTTTCTCAAGTCATTTACTTTTGTCTGATGATTTCGAATTGAGTTCATCTTATTTTTTAACGTCGCATTAGATATTTACATAAGTAGTATAGTTGACGGGTTGTGTGACTTTTTTTGTAAACGTAAGAATTCATACAATATAGAACGATTTTGTATCATTTTTTTTAACATATGAAGTAAAAAATGTATGATTCTGACGGTTTTTATTCTTACGTTTTTGAATAAATCAAGATTTAAAACATTTTCAGAATCGTAAGACATTTACACTCAACCCATACATAATGAAGTTATATATATAGATAATGTCAGCTATTCCACGATTAATTAAACATTGTTTAAATCCTGAATGGAATCAATGGAGTCATAATGAAAAACCACATAAACGTGTAAAAAAAATTAGAAACTAATGATTATTTGAATTTATGAAATCAATTATTTGATTCATTCTTTCTTCAATCTCTTCTATTCTTTTTGTTAAATCATCTATTTTCATTAATGAGGTGATTCTTGATTGAGGAATAGATTTCAAACTAACCACTCCTTTTATTTTTGAAATTTTGAATCCATCAACTTTAAACATTTTATTCAATTTACACGTTGTCAATTCTTCAAATAATTTTTTATTATTAGCATAATAGTCATTAAATTCTTCAACAGATGAAAAAATTTTTGTTTCAGTAATTGGTTTAACAACGTTTATTTTTTGTTGAACATTTTCACTTTCATTTATTTCTTCCTCCTCTGTTTCATTTATTTTTAAAATCGTTTTCATTTATCATTAAATAAAAATTAGAATATAAGTGATGAAATATATTTTTTAATTAATATTAAATCAGCTATGGCGGCAGGATTCTTTAAAAAATTATGGGATGGAATTAAGAAAGCTGCGGGTTGGGTTCATAAAAAATTATTAAACCCGTTGCAAACTTTTTGGCACCAGTAGCGAAAACGGCAGGAACTATCATAGGTGGAGTATTAGGTACTAAAGCAGGTAATCCGGCGATGGGAGCACAAGCAGGTAACGCAATTGGTGGAATTGCTGAAGGAATACTTAATAAAATAGGAGGTAGATAGTGGAAAAATAAATAAATATTATTTTTATCTTAGTATCGGTTGTAGTCTTTGATAAACTTTTTCTCCTTTATTTAATATTTCTCTTATTGGGGCAGCTTTTGGTGTTATTGATTCAGCAACGTCACTAATTGCTTCTTTATTCTTAAATATCCAATTTGCTCCTTTCTTCATTGTTTCCCAAACTTTATGCGCTCCTCTTTTTACTTTATCCCACAGTTTCTTAAATATACCTGCAGCCATAGTTGATTATTTCATTAAAATTAAAAATTCATTTTCATCTTTTAATTTTGATTTTTTATTTAATAATAAATGACGACTAACTATTTGGTGCCAAACACTAAACCGATTAATGGAAATGTGTTTCATTCATTCGAAAAGATAAATGAAATATTCGCAAAGAATGACGGTAGAAGATATTATAGAGAACTTGAAAGTTCATGCTATGACTCTGATGCTCCATATTTTGATGATAAACAAACTCATTTAAGAATTACAAATCCGGCTCATGATGTGAACCAATTAGGTGACACATATATTAAACGCAAAGTTAAAGCAACTCTAGTTTCAAATAAAGCTTTCACATGTGATGCCGCTTTTAAATGCATGCGTTTATTCGTTGGTTACAAATCATCAAATCAAAGCTTTAAACAATTAGAAGTAGAAACCGAAAGAGGTGATGCCGGTTATCTTCAGATGGATTGCGCCCGTGAATCTTTCGCATTTGCAACATATAAACCAAAATCAGAAAGGAAAGTTAAAAAGTTTGTTCATTCGTTATATAATAATGTTCAAAAATATGATAACTCAGTATGTGGTAAATATATTGACCCTTCAGAAGTTTTCAAGAAAGCAAATGAAGAAGTTGATATCACTTTTGATATGATTATTCCGGTAAATGATTTGTTAGCATTTCAGGCGTTCGATGATTATCCTAAATCATTTGGTGAATCATTCTTAAATATTATATTTTCAGGGATACTTTAGTATTTTGTCAGGTTGACCCGTTAAGAGTTGCTGATTTACAAAATTACGTTTATGAAAAGATAACTGATGAAAATTATGAAAAGATTATGAATCATGTTTATAAATATGATCGCAAATTCCAACAAATCGGACTTCCTGCCAAATTAATTACAAGCTTAGCCGCTACATCTGCTGACGCAACAGTTGATGACGTTATTATTTCATGCACAAAGATGGAAGTTTTAGAGGATAAATGCATTACACCAGGATACGGTTTAATTGAAGAATCAGTTAAAGCAATACCACGTTTATTCAGTAAGGAAGATCCATTCATGATTCCAGCTCAACATATTGACGTTCGTTCACTAAATGGAGGTTGCATCACTCCTGAAGGTATTAGCTCAGATTTCTCATACGCTCTTCATAATGTTACAGATGTTGTGTTAACATTTCCGAAGAATGCAATGCAAAGAACAGTTTTAGAAAATCCAATGCTTCGAGGTCTTCAGGTCACTATAGATTCCAGAAACTTCCCCGATCAAGCGATGACCACAGTGGGTGACATATTCTTTACACGTATGCTTCAAGCTTCTGATTTAGATGGAGTGAATGAATGCACAGAAGAATACGAGGACTCATTAACTAGACCACTGAATGATGATAATGGCACGCCATTAGCTAGAACATGGAAAGACCAAACTTCATTCTTATGCACTATTCCAGTTCAACGTGATGGAGCGGGTATATTCTTTGATGGATTAGAAACTTTCAACTCACAAGTTACAGTACAAGTGAAAGCTTATCCAATCATTCAGGGTGAAAATGACACTTACTGTTCAAAGGTGACAAATCCTCCTCAGGTTTGGTTTACTAGGACTACGTATTGGACATGGACACCGGATGAAGGTTTGAAATATCATCCAACAGGTACACCACCACAGTATAGAAGTTCATATGATGAAATATTGATGAATAGAAATGTTTAAAATTATAAATTTATTTTTGATTAAATGGATTTCAATTCTGAAGAATTAACAGATGTATATAATACATACATAGATGATATGATTAATGAAGCATTGAGTGATAATAGAAATGCTCTATCTAAGGAAAAATTAATGAAAATTCCATATTCTGAATGTTACTTAAATTCAATCACTGCAGCAATTGGTAAACAAAATAAAGGTAAAACATTAACGATATTAAAACAAATTATCATTATTGCTAACACTTCCCCCTATTCACATGTGTTAATTTATATCAACCGTTCAGGTTCACCTTCAGATGATACATTTGAATCTTTAAAGCATTTAATCAAAATTCCAATTATTTATTTATCACAAGAAGAAGCAGAAGATTATTTAAAAAACTTTTTAATGTATAAAGAATTATATAATACAATCAAGAAGCAAGGATTAGAGGATAAAATTATTGATAAACAACGGGATGAATTATTTGAAACACTTTCTATTTCAAATTTTGATAAAGAATTTTTGCATTCACTAATTTTTCTAGATGATGCCGTGAAATCAAAACTAATAACTAATGAGAAATCATATTTTAATCAATTATTAACTCAATGTCGACACATTCAGTGTTCATTCTTCATGGCTGTTCAATACTTCAAAGCATTAAGCACAAACATTAAATCAAATCTATCAACACTTTTCATTTTCAGTGGGTTTAGTCGTCAACAGTTGAACGTTATGCTTTATCAAGTGAATTTACCAATGAGCATTAATGAACTTTACACACAATATCAGCAATTAGGTGAACATGGAAAAATAATAGTTGATTTAAATAAAGGAGGTGTTAAATTTGATTAACTTTTTATAATTAATTTTTATTTTTTATTTATAATTAAACATGACAGAAATAGCAAATCTTCTACAGGTTCCATTAAAACAAGGGACAAACAAAAAGGGTGATATAATAGAACTATGAAAGTTCCAGACGGAATGAAAGAATTAGTTCATATTGTTGCTGGTCTTCAAAAAATGTTAAAAAATGAGAAACGTTTTAACATTACCAGAAGCTCAAGCATATGCCAAACGTCATGGACCAAATTGGGAAGCACATGAAGCAGACATTACAGGACCAAATGGAAAACCTGATGGTATAAATGAAGTTTTCGTTACTGATGGTCAAGGAAATATTAAAGTCATAAATGGGTATAAATTAACAATGACGGATTATCCTAACGTATAAGCATATAATGAATGTTATCCTTTGCAATTTGATGAAAATGGAAAAGCTGTTAAACAATACGTTGGAGAAGGTGAAAATGGTCCAATATATTCATACCATCTTATTCCATATTCTTATTTCAATGAAAAATTAAATGCTGTTGAAGAGGGACCGGATGGATTACCACGATATGTTAATCAGTTTGATGGTCAATATGCACATTTGAGACCTGAAATTTCAGCTAAGAAATTCTTTAAAGTTGCTTTATTCAATCCAGTGTTCAATGAACAGAAAGAAGCAATGAAAGCAGAATTTAAACCAATTCAAGTGGCAAGAATTTCTTCATCTTCACTTTCAGAAGCGTTCAAGGAATTGATAAAGAAACCACTTTATTCTCAACAAGGTTATAACTTTGATTTAATTAAAGAAAGTGATAGACGTAAATTAGAAAAATCAGATAGTTTTAAGAATGCATGTAATGAAATGATTAAAGATATTGTAAATGATAAAATAAGACTGGAAGAAACTCAAAGCAATATCAATAACATAATTGGTGCAGTTACAAAGAAAGTATAAGCAAACAAGGATGAACCTTGGGATATTACCGTAACAACTAAATAAAACTTTAAATATATTTTTCTTTTTTTTATTCAATTATAAATGAGAAGACGTTTCACAAGTCAAAAGAACACAAACGCAAAAGCAGAGATTACGGTTGGTTATAACGTAAATGATGATAAATCACGAATTATTCAAAATGTTAAAGTTAATGTTAGTCCTGAATTAACAAGGTCAGCAACTCAACCAAATTTATTAACTCGTGTCTTACCGAAGAATGAAGAGAATGAAGAAAACCATGAGAATGGAGACCCAATCATTTTATCTGAACCTGGTAAAGAACCTGTTGAAATTCCCACTTATCCAACATACCCCCCACCTCTTTCATCAAACATCGAGAACCCAGGAATCTACGATTCCAGTCGCAATGCGCCATATAAAATAGACATTAATTCAGAATTAATGAAAATTTACCGTGATATAATAACTGATAATTATGATTCAATAATAAATTTAATTGATCAATCCGGTTTAATTATTTTACCTTATGAATCATTAATTCACATTATCGCCATTCTTTGTGATGTTCAAGATTCAGACGTTAAGATTCAATTTTTCATAGATGATGAGGTTTCATGCTGCGGAACAGTTGCAAAAATAAATCCTATAAAGGATATTAGCACAATTAAGATATCAAAGAACGGAACAACAACTGAACTTCATTTAACATATAATGATATTTATAATAAAATAGTTGATGAATATAAAATATCACTTGAAAAATTCTTTGTTAAGGCCATTTAATATTCAAGCATTAACATTATTGAATAATAATCCTTTGAATCATAATCAATAATAATTGACCTTTCACCAGTTTCTATCGTTTGTTTTATTTCTTTTTGTTCCCCACTATCCGGATCGGTCATTGTAATTGTTTTTGTTATAGTATCAGCTTTATCTTTAACTTCGATCTTTTTTCCATCGGGATATTTAAACCAAAATTCCAAAAATTCGATATTGTCAATCTGTTCATATTTTAATCTATCAATTACATTTTTAATACCATCTGAAAATCTTATGAAATGGTCATTATATGGGTTTGATTGAACTAAATTTGAATGAAGTGAAATATAACCCGATGATGAATATGACATTGACTCATATTTTCTGAAAACACTAAAATTTATAACATGAATGAATTTCTTATTCGTTGAATTTATGAATTCTTTTGAGGTAATCTTATTCTAGTTTTATTTATCACTGGAAAATAACGCTTTACCATATTTTTAATCGTAATAAAAATGTCAATTATCAATATTATTTCGAATAATAACTGTGAATTAAATTTAACAGTTAGCGGAATTTATAATGTTACTCTCGTTTCTGTGAGTGGTAAATTTAATCCCATTCTTTTAGACCCTTCAGATTATATATCATTTATTAAAGATGACCATGAAAAAACGTATGATATGTATATAAATAATGTATAACGAAATGGGATATTAACATGATTTTAAGTTATTTAAATGAATCATTTATCGTATGGTATGAAGAAAATTTTAAATCAAAACCTGATAAACTTTTTGAAACTTGATGAAATAAATAACCTTATTAAATTCCCACTGAAAATTAAATTTTGTACTCCTCATCTTCGTTCATTGTTGGGGATATTAAATTTTGAAAAAGATGTTGGGGATGTTTTGTATTCTGACACCGGTTCCAATTTCATTTTAATCAAATGTGATAAAGTTAATACCCCAATGAGATTTTCACATCAAACATTAGACCCTAACTCTTACCCATCAATACAAAACATTTTATCCATCAACTTAAACATATTTTCTTTATCATATCCGTTTCAATTATCCGGGAATTCATTTATTCTTCATTCAAAAGATTTATCAAATATTAAATTTAGAATAACTGACCTATTTGATTGTGATTTAGAATTCATGAATGAAATATTATGGCAATTTCAAATAGAAAAAATAGGTGATGAGATAACGGATTAAATATTTATTTTTAAATCATAATAAATGATTAAACAACAGCAACCACAGCAACTTAAGGCACAAAGCACCCAGGTCCCTCAGACCATTACATACGCCATATATGCATATAATTCAAAGACGGCAGAACAAACGCAAAGGTTGAAATATGGAGATTTGGAGATAGTATTGAAAAATGACCATTTCGAATTCGTTTGCAAGGGTGGTGCAGTGATATCAAATATAAAAGAAATTTTATTTATGAATTCAAAAATTAAAGGTATAACGGATGATATAACATCAATTCCACCAGAAGAACAAAGATATTACGCATTAAATGCATTTCCTAAAGTTTTGAAGATTGGAAGATTTAATTTAAATGAGGAATTCATAAAAGGTTTCCTAAATGACATAATGAAGAAAGCAGATAAGGAATATGTGGATAGTGAGTTAGAGAAGAAGGCAGATAAGGAATATGTTAACGATGAGTTAAATAAGAAGACAGATAAGGAATATGTGGATAGTGAGTTAGAGAAGAAGGCAGATAAGGGATGTGTTGCTGCTGCGTTAGAGAAGAAAGCGGATAAGGAATATGTGGATGAAAAAGATAATGAAATTAAAGAAATGGTTGAATGGTATCATGAATGGACATCAAAGATTTTAAAAACTAAAGCTGATACAGGATGGGTTTCAGGATGTTTAGACCTTAAAGCGGATAAAACATATGTTAACGATGAGTTAAATAAGAAGACAGATAAGGAATATGTGGATAGTGAGTTAGAGAAGAAGGCAGATAAGGGATGTGTTAACGAAATATACCAAAGTTTGATAGGAACAAAAAATATTGAAACTATTGTTGGCGACTTTTCTGTCAATGAAGAAAATAAATATTTTAGATGGCAGTTTGTACACTCCTTAAAAAATGGTATACGGTGGAAACTCATTCCGAAAAATAACAATGAAATGTATGTAAGTTATAAAAAGAATGATGACACACAAGTTAAAGTTCCATTAGACAACAACTGCTACTTAAACTTATATGGAGACGAACAAAAGAAATATTTAAGAGTTTATGAAATGGCAGATATGACATTGCCTGACCCAGCTCCAGCACCATATTATTATGACTATGGAGATGATGTCAGAACACCACATGTAGATGAACAAAAGTTAACATTATATTTAGATTATTATAGATATAAAAGATATAATGCAATAGAAAAAACGAGAATAGTATATTATTATACAGATGACAGAAATAAATATTATAGTCAAGATTTTACCTACCCTGAAAACATAAGATTATATTATAAAAAATATTCTGACACCAAACCAGAAGAAACTGAAATAGTTACACTATATTTTAAGTTCAAAAGAGACAATCCTATAATATCTCATATGTTTGATTTAATGAACCCAGTAGGTTCTATTTATACATCTATGGATGCAAGAGGTCCTCAAGTAATGTTTGGTGTTGGTGCATGGGAACAAATAGTTGACAGGTTTTTGTATTGTGCAAACTCTTCAAAGGAAACAGGTGGAAGTAAAACGATTTCAGGTGAAAATTTACCTGCACACAGTCACTACATAGATTTAAGCACATCTCAAGCAGGTTGGCATAAGCATAGATATTGGGATTGGTCAGGAATGACAAAAGGTAAAGGATATGATGTTAAAGACGACGTTAAGTTTGCCATAAATTGTTACTGGAGTGACACTCAGGGAGAAGGAAACCATACACATTTCGTTTCAGGATATACACAAACAACGGGACAAAGTAAAGATTACATGCCACCATTTATGACTGTATTCGCATGGTACCGTGTTTATTGAATGAACTAAATATATTTTATGTCTGTAATTAATTAGGTAATGAAGTAATGGATGAACTACAGAAAAGAAGTTAAAAGCTTGGGGTCGTTTTGTGCATGAAATATTGTGAGTAAATGATTTAGGTTATTCAATAATTAATTATTTTTGAAGAACTGAAGGTGCTACCATGTTACCATGTTGACAACATGACATTATGTCAACAACACAGGAGGAAGGCAGTTATGAATTATTTTTGAAGAACTGAAGGTGCTACCATGTTACCATGTTGACGACATGACATTATGTCAACAACACAGGAGGAAGGCAGTTATGAATTATTTTTGAAGAACTGAAGGTGCTACCATGTTACCATGTGCTACCAGGTCATTTAACTTCTCTGAAAAAGTGTGACAACATGACATTTTGACAACAACACAGGAGGAAGGCAAAAATAAATTCCAATCATACTTTATAAAGCATCATTTACAGGTATTTCATCGTCAGTAAATGATTCCTCATTATCGTTTGGTTCAATTTGTTTATATAATCCTTTCATTTCTTCTTTCAAAACATAACACCATGTTTGTTTACCGTCTATTCTTCTATGTTTCCTATCACATTTATCCTTAATACTCATTTGAAAGTTTTTGTCTTTCATGTCTGATGGTTTGCAGAATAGAGCATTTTCACACGTCATACCTGCACACAATTCATCATAATGTGTATTTATCCATACATCTAAAGGATTTGATGATAATTCTATTAAATCTTGTTTGGCTTCAGTCATCGGTATGATTCGTACATTAAATGATGAAAGGTCATATTGCATAAAATACGTCAGTAAATTATCATAAAATTCCTTAGTGCATGAATCCATTAAATTCTTGAAGTAATCAAATTGACCCTTGAATTTACCATTAACCCTTAAAACTACGTATCTTCTGTCTCCAACATCAATTTTGACAGGGTAGACGTTGTTAGTTACGAAAATGAAGTTTGCAACATTCTGAGCAGTTCTTCTGGGTTGATTCTTTTCATTAATTCTAATCTCATTATCCGTAATAATTGATTTCAAAGCGTTGAAGTTTGCGAGTCTGTCTTCACCTACATTTTTGAGTTCATTAAGTACAAGAAACATTTTATTTTCAACAACTGAATTGAAATTACCCGTTAGCTCACTTATTTCAGTAATGTTTTTACATGAATAACCGGCGAGAAGTTCAGAAATAATGTCTGTAAATCTGTTTTTACCTGTTCCCTGAAGTCCTTTCAAAATAATTGCTGTTTCATTCTTGATTCCTGGATGTTGAATCATTGATGCAATCCAGCCGAGTAGGTATTTATACACTTCATCGTTATTATCACAAATGGCTTCTTTAATGAAATCCATAAACATCTCAATTTTTGAGTAATCTACTTTTTCGAGAACGTTGTATTTATAACCCTGAAACGTTGAGAAAACATCTGGGGAATCAGATTTAAAGCAAACACCCTTAACGGTTAATGAGGATAATTGATTTAATAGTACGTCCCATGCTGTTATTGTTTTACCTTCTTCTTTAAATAATTTAATCATTTTGAGTGACTCTTTCATGTTTGACTGAAGAACAAATGATATTTGATTCATTTTGTCGTGTATGTTGTAATCTTTCTGAATGAAGTATTTGTTTCCACAATCTACAAAACGAATTACACATGATAAATCCTCAATTACTTCAGAACTGTTTTTATACTGATGATTTTCAGCCTTGCGTCTAATATCTGTTATCAAAAACGAGTCATCAAGTTTGATATCAAATGTTATTTTTGGCTTACGTAATAAAGGTAAAACATATTCATCATAATATTCCTTTTGATAAAGTTTTAGAATCTTCACTAAAACAAATGGAGAAGTCATTAAATGTGCATATCTACTACGTGCTTTTTCAAAATTACTTTTTGCATTTTCAGTTAAATTGCAGAAGTTATAAACGTTATCGTATGCTTCATTAATCAAATGATTAGGTAACGAATTAATTGCTTGAAACAGTGTGAATAATGTTATTTCTTTTTCTAAATTCATGTTTCCACCGTCATTATGTACTTCAAAATCACAGATGCCATCAACTATGCTCTGGGCAAGTTTATCGTCAATGTTTACATCTTTGTTTTCATTCATTATACTCTTTATTTCTTCATTCTTCTGTTCAACTCTTACCTTAATATTCAAATCATTTATATCATTCACTGTTCTGGTTAATGTTGAATCATAACTTCCACGAATGAATGAGTATGTATTGATTGGTTCTGTTGCATTCTTGCGAACTCTTGAATCAGCCATAACTACTAAAGAACGCTTTGAATCATCCATAGAAGTCATGATATCGATATCGTAATCATTGCAGGAATAACATTTAATCATTCTGTTCGAGGTTGAATAGAAGAAATTAGTGTTGCAATAAATGTGAAGACCTCCTGAAGCGGTTTTAACGATAACATCTTTATCCGAAAGTTTTGATAAAATGTCTTTTCTAACTGTTTCTTTAAGTTCATCATTGTACGATTTATTGATATCAACATCTATAATCGTTAAATTTGATATTTTATTTACTAATAAAGCCATACCAGTTTTCCTTCCTCTTCCTCCATCGTATTTGAGGTAGTTATGTAAATCAATCCGGTTTTCACCAATTCTTTCGTTGAGGGTTTTAGTTTCTGCCACAACTGATTCCTCAACTAATGAATCAATAACTTGTTCATCAGAAATGATAAAGTTGCTGTTGTTGTTTGTTGCTGTCATTTATATAGGAATAAAAAAATAAAACTAACTTTATTTTTGCCTTCCTCCTGTGTTGTTGTCAAAATGTCATGTTGTCACACTTTTTCAGAGAAGTTAAATGACCTGGTAGCACATGGTAACATGGTAGCACCTTCAGTTCTTCAAAAATAATTCATAACTGCCTTCCTCCTGTGTTGTTGACATAATGTCATGTCGTCAACATGGTAACATGGTAGCACCTTCAGTTCTTCAAAAATAATTCATAACTGCCTTCCTCCTGTGTTGTTGTCAAAATGTCATGTTGTCACACTTTTTCAGAGAAGTTAAATGACCTGGTAGCACATGGTAACATGGTAGCACCTTCAGTTCTTCAAAAATAATTCATAACTGCCTTCCTCCTGTGTTGTTGACATAATGTCATGTCGTCAACATGGTAACATGGTAGCACCTTCAGTTCTTCAAAAATAATTCATAACTGCCTTCCTCCTGTGTTGTTGTCAAAATGTCATGTTGTCACACTTTTTCAGAGAAGTTAAATGACCTGGTAGCACATGGTAACATGGTAGCACCTTCAGTTCTTCAAAAATAATTCATAACTGCCTTCCTCCTGTGTTGTTGACATAATGTCATGTCGTCAACATGGTAACATGGTAGCACCTTCAGTTCTTCAAAAATAATTCATAACTGCCTTCCTCCTGTGTTGTTGTCAAAATGTCATGTTGTCAACATGGTAACATGGTAACACCTTCAGTTCTTCAAAAATAATTAATTATTGAATAACCTAAAAACCATTAACGATAAAATAACTGATAACAAATTTTTATTTTTATCATAAATGAATACCCCACAAGCTCAAAATTTACCACGAATCATAACAAGGGAGGAAATGATAAAAATGATGCAAGAACATGTTAAAAATAACAAACCACTAAAATTGAGAAAATGTGGTTATGCAGTAATGATGGAAAGAGAGATGTTGTCGAAGAGGAATAAAAATTAAATTTGGATTGAGTTTAAAAATTCATCTTTATTAAATTCATCTCTTCCAATCAATTTATTTATTCTATTAAATTCTTTTATTTTTGCTTCACTCAGTTTAAGGATTGAACGGTAAGTTTCTAATTTTTCGATTATTTCTTCATCGTTTTCAACCCCACCGCATTGTGGCTTCTTTTTATATTCATCGTCTGGACTCTTTGCTGCTTCGTTGTCACTCATTTCTTACGAAATAAAAAAAAATTAAATATTATTTAAATATAATGGAGTAATAAAATAAATCGGAATTTCTATTAATTTATTGTCAACTTCAACTAATGCATTGCCGTTAATATATCTAACAAATTCAGCTATTGTGTCAAATCTTCGTCTTCTTTTTGTCATTGATTTATCAGTTTTTCCATAATCGAGATGAATCAAAACTTTATTTCCTTGTTTAAAATTCATGAGCCCCGAATTAATTTGTTCACGTTTAACATCATTCAACCTTTCCATTTGCTTTCTAATATATTCCCATTCTTTTGAAATATCATTTTTCATTTCCACCGGTTTCATGTTTATAGTTCTATGCCATGTATTATTGTAATAATATACTAACTGTTGTATGATGGAGTCATGATTTCCATCCCAGTATATCTGACCGTTAACCCCTAACGCATCTCTAAGAGTTCTCATTACTGCATCAACTATTTTATTATGAAACGTATATGGAGAGGATGAGAAGTAAAAATTAATTTGTGGAAAATAATGAGTCATAGCTGCCTGAAATCCTTTATCACCATCACCCCTGATATTATCTACTCTTTCATGATCTAGTAAGTATTGAATAGCTCTTCTTGTTTCCTGTTCTGTTTTCCCTTTCACTGGAATGCAATATAAATATCTAGTGTTAATGTTAATGGCAAATAAATAAGTAACGTTTCCTTTTGAATATTCCAGATGATCAATTTCGTATGAATATGGATATGGTGCAAATGAAGGGCGACTAAATTTTTCCTTTAACGGTTGAATTTTTGGGTCAATTGGTTTATTTAATATTTTGAAATCCTTTTTAAAATCTTTTTGCTTCTTAAATGTTTGAAATGGATATAATAAAGTGAATGATGAAGGATTAACTGAAGGAGGAGGCGGTACTGTCGTTGGAGGTTTTGGTGTTGCAAGTGGTTTAATTTTATCTGCTTTGATTTTGGAATTCAATCCTCCCTTCATTAATTCTGGATGTATTTTATTCATTTGTTTTAAATATGCTGTATATAAAGGTTTGATATACTTTCCCGCTTCGAGTTTATGTTGAAGGATGAATTCCAAAAGTTGATCTTCATTTAAAAGTCGGGCTGAATATGGTTTAACTAATGAATCATAAATTAAAGCTTGTGCATCATTTATGGTCTGAAGAACCTGGGTGTTTTGTTCCTTTGGCTTTTGCGGCTCAGGATTATATAATTTATATAATTCATCAATATCTTCTTCTGTTAATACTTTATTTTTGAAATCTTTCAACTGTTTAAGTTGTGATTTAGTTTTTCCCTTTGAATATTCATTATTTTTAATTTTGTCTTTAAGGATACCCTTACATTGCGTAGTTAGAAAGAGAATATGATATTGTCATGATTGCTAAAGTTTTAGGCTCCAGAAATGAATATACATCAAACTGAAACAATTGATAAATTGAATGAACTTTTGAGAGGTTCTCAAATAAAAAAAATTATCTAATTTTTTACAATATTACTATTATTTTATCCACATATGTATATATAGTAATTTGAGAAAACTTTTAGGAAAAAATAAGTTTAATAAAAATCTGAATTTTACTTGTTGTGGGATTGTTATTAATTGACACTCCAGACGTATTACTAATAGTTATGCGTATGCAATTAAAGTATTTCTGATGGACAAAATGTGAGATTTATATCAGATAATTCATTTCTACTATTAAGTTATTCATTTATGAGTTTGCACTTATTCGCACTAAATAAATAACTATTAAAAATTGTTTTAATTAATTGACACCATATAATAGAGTGAATTTTGTTTGATCAAACAACAATAGATGATAGATATAAAGCCAAGAAACTTGCTATTAATATGCTCTACTTGCTATTTCAATGTAAGTATGATATTTTCTAAATGTTTCGTTCAGATAACTTAGATATATTAGTCAAAATTTGAAATTTTAATAGCACATATATTAAAAATAATTATTATTCATAAAAGATTAATGAAATAGTAAAAAAAATCAATCAAATTATAAAAATACAACATTTAGAAGAATTCTTATTATCCTTCAAAAAGTCAGTATTTCTGCTGTAATTTTCTACAACATTGTAGTTATTGCACTTTGTCTATGGATTTGTATATATGTTATATATAAATTATATATCTAAACTGCCCATAAGTGCAATTTTTATATAAATTGTTTATTTCTTTAACAATTTCATATGAAATATGCTTTTTTAAGCGTATCAAAGCTGTGTTCTTAATGTGCATGGATATATATAAAAAAAATGTCGAAAAAAAAATGTGAATTCACAAATTCACTGAATTTTCACCGTTTTTTGAATTTTGCTACAGCACTAATATTAAATAATACTAAAATCTTCTGTCTTTGTAAAAAATAAATTCTGACAAAAAGTGCTCGTTTAAATTTAATGATCATCTGTATGACTAAGTGGTAAAAAGTGTTTATGACCAAAAAAGGGTTACATGCTTAGTCTATTTTTCTGACAGGATACTCTAGATTTACATGATCTCTATTTCATATCTCCGTTTTTAGATTCTTCGACAGATTTTATGATAGAAAACCAAGATTAACAAATTTCCGGCATGTTAATGAAGAAATCTGCAGCTACCCTCAATATTATTTCAATAATCAGTATCGTTTCTCTTACAATTTATTTTTTTCTCAATAATTTAACAAGAAATATACACACTTGGTTTTACGTATAAAAGCTAAGTGTCGAACTTAATCAACTTTACTTACTTAGCAAATGAATATTTTTGTGGTTGCGAGTTCTGAATGCTGAAGTTTTAGATTTCTCTATAAATGATATCATTGCACTTACAATGTTGTTCCAGCCTATCGCATAAATCATAGAAAATCAAAAAAAAAAATAATATAAAGAAAATTCATGTCATGAAGTTCAAAAAATACCGTGTAACATTAAAATTTGTTATGCATAATACATTTTAGCTATTATTGATTTTTTTAATTTTCGAGAAATTGAATGGTGAGTCCGATAGAGAAATTTTTAAAAAATCCTAGTCCCTCATAGAAGTAATTTCCCTCGTCTCCCATACTTCCAAATGTATGCATATGACATAAACTTTTATGCATTACACAAATGGCCAATAATATCTATAGAGTAAAAAATTAGAAATTTAATTTTTTATATGATAGTTATATTTCAGATTTGCGAGCGTAACTTTTTTCTCCATGGCATACTTGTTTTAAGAGCAAATGATCAAAATCGTCCTTCAATTATTGAAGGAGCTGATATCTTTTGAAAATTGAATTGAAAGGGTATTCAATTTTCAAATTTCCTCTCAATTTTGGAAACATATCAACTCTATGAATTAACAATTATGTGCCTTCACAGTTTATCAGTCATATAAGGTGCTTATAAAGAAAAAAGTTACGCTCGCAAAATATGTTTTTATATAGATTTCACATAAAATAATTATGTAATTTCTAAAAAGAATATTTTTGTTCTTGAATATTAAAGTGTATTGTAGTTTAAAAAGTTTTAAATATGTTGCTAAAATTTCAGGTTTATAGCTCATGTCTAGCATGACTTCTTCGTATGCGCAAAAAATCTGACACGTAAGGGTATCCTTAATTTTAGAAATTATTCTATCATGATATTTCAAAATTTCATTTTTATAATATGGATAATAATATTCCATATCATCACCCGTTATATTATTATCATATTTTTGGAGATATGATTTTAATTCATAATAACTAAGAAAATTTTGATTAAATACTAAATCATCAATTAAAATTTTTAAATCTGTGTTATTCATTTATATAAAAATAAAATCAATGTTTTAAGGGTGCCCGCCTCTTTGAATCATAGTATCAAAGCCATCATTAACGGTTCCTTTTGTCTCTTCTGTGGCATTTCATTAAAAATAAAATTTTAAATTGTATTAAATAAATGGCATACAACATCCATTTTCACAACATACAGCCTTAGTGTGTGCTCCTGTTAATGCAGTCTTACCGATTGTTAAGCGAGTCATTGACCCGTTTTTAAGTTGTAAATTAATATTCTGACCATCAAATATCGCTTTATCATTTATTATATCCAAATAATTTTTAGGTGTTAATTGCTTATTTTGTCTTAAACTAACACCCTTCATTTTTTGTGCAATCTTTTTAAAATCACTTCCATCAATTGAACCGTTGAATGATGTATAACACTTAGGACATAAAGCAACCATGTTATCACCTTGTTTCTCAATTGCTAAACCCAATAACTTCTTCTCATGTGCTTTTTCTTCAGCTTTATTCTTTAATTTAGGTTTAAATTTCTCATCAAAACAGAAGAAATCAAATGGTGCGAATTTGAAAATGTTTTTATCATAAAATTGTTTATCGGTAACAATTGCTTGAAATGCTTGAGTGTTAGGAAGATTTGGGTCGCCAGCGATTGCCCAATAAGATGAATCAGTATCACCTTCAATGAAATGAAAACGATTAACATTCATGCATTTATACATAAAATCATAAATGAAAACCAAATACCAGTATTTTGCGTTATCTAAAGTGAAGAATGCCTCTTGTAAACATGTTTCACATCTATAAAATCTATCTTTAAGCATCACTTGATATGTATCCTCACCTATTTCTCTTATGTTTTTAAACTTATTTGACATACATGCAACGCGTGACTTCTGTGCATTCATTATTTTAGTCTTTGCGTAATTTTGTGTATTCATTGCATCGTAACCATATGATCCATTAAGCGAAATCTTGCAAAATAAACTTTTTCCTTTATTTCCTTCTAATTCAGCCTTTTGTCTTTCGTTCATAAATTTGTTCGCAAATTCATTAAAACAAGTGTTTTTAGTAAATGTTAAAATTGATTGAATGTCATCAATGATAAAATGAAATCTGTCTATTAGATACCAAAGATAATAAGAAGAAAATGGTTGATATTGGTTGTGTGTTGATGCTAACTGAGTTAATTTTCTCTGTTTCTGGTCAACTGGTAGATTGTTTGATTTCATGTAATTATACATAAAACTGCCAATTGTTTTTTCATCTGTGATAATATCTAAGTTTCTTATTATCGGTAAAAAGTTTATGTAATCATTAATGTATTTTTCATCAATGTGACCCTTTACTTCAGCCACGAATAAAGTATTTTTCTTCTTAATAATTCCCAATGCTTTTGCTTTCTTTGTTGCTGTATCACAAATGATAACACCATTCAATCTTCCCGGCATATACATTTTATGGTCAGTATATTGAATGAAATCATGAGGATTAGATGAAAATGATGAAGGATATAATGAATTAAAGTCAACACCAACGAAATGAGTCATAATGTTGGTGGTGTCCTCATTTGATACAGTTTTAGTTTCTGGATTATATGAAAGTTTATTAATGTGCGTGATTCCTTTAAGATTTACTCTATGTTGAACATTTGATAGACCACCAGTAATTCCATTACGGAGAATGTGATAAGCTTCAACTGAATCTAAAGTCATTGGTAAATTATTTTTTAATGCATAATTTCTTAAATTGATTCTTAAACGTTGAACATCTTCATCTTTATTTGATTTCACGACATTGCAATAACAACACATTAACTGACAATTTTCTTTGGTATGTGGTTTTTCATTATCTATTCTATCCAATGTTGGTTTATTTGCATATGTAAACGCTTTACCACACATTTTGCATTTAGATGAAAGGATTAAATCGTGATAGTATTGATAGTCATCCATTGAAACATTGTTTTTAGTATCCCTTTCCGCTTTTTCATCTTGTTTCTTATATGATTCAATTTTATATTTCCAATACTTTTTTGTTAATTCAAAACTTGATTCCACATTTTCTTCTTCTGGATATGTTTCGTTAGGATTGAAGTTCTTATATGCTAACGCGTAACGAATCATTGAAGCATTCGATGATAAAGAAAGATTATGAAGCATATCAATTTTATAAACAAATGTTTCTTCAATAATTTTATCAATTGGGTCAATCATAATTTCAACATCTTTATTGCAATAATGAATAAAATATTCTAATCTATTCTTAAAATTTTTAGCATCATTGAGATATATTTGATAATCTGAATCGGATATTGTTTCTTGTGTTAATGCTGAATAAAATGAATCTTTCGTGAATGGTTCCTTTTTATATAATTCTTCTTCGTAATTTTCCCATGTGATGAATTGATAAGGGAAAAAGGATTTAACACGTGATTTATTGTTTCCGAAATCTTGAGTGAATTGGTCTAATGTCCCACCCGCTATATAATTTCTGATGTCAATAAATCTCAATTCATATGGAACGTTTGTTTTCTTTACTATGACTTGCTTAAATTGAGAAGAAGAACCCAGCATTGATTTTATCTTCCATTTTGCAGTATTTAAATCACGAAGAATTAAATTTAAATCAAACTTTCCCGAATTAAAACCAATGATATTCACTTTATTAAATTCTTCATCTAAAAGCTCTTTCATTGCTTCCTTTTGTTTCTCATTTAATGTTTGCGACTTCATTAATTCTTCATATTGTTCAATATTTGATTTAGCAACTAATGAACAGGTTGAAAATAAAAATTCAATCCAATCAGAGATGAACGAATCACTCGAAGTTAAGCAAAAATTCCTCGTATATGTTTTATCGTTTAATTTAACCGTTGATGATACCATGAATGGTTTTAAGTAAGCGTTCAAAGTTGCACACTCAGAAAGTTGTAATTCTTCTTTAGTCTCTAATGTTTCGAAGTCAAAAGTAATATAATATCTTGTTGGTTTATAATATTCCTGCAAATTATGTGCTAATAGCCATTGATATATATTCTGTTTCGTAATATGTGGTGCATATGGTTGTTGTGTGTTTTGCAATTGAACGTCTTGAATTAATCTTCCATTATTTTCTTTACATTTCTCACAATGTTTTAAAAATCTTCTTTGGTTTTTCCTTTCTGGATCATCACGGATAGAATAAACTTCTTCTTTACAATATGGACAAACTCTATAGCCGGTGAGTGCTTCAACGTCTGTTATTCTGTCAGCGTGAAGTTTTCCATTTGGACTCTGTGTTAATAAAATATTTACTGTTTCAAATTCTGGATCTATCATTATTGAATCCACTAATGGAAAGTCTACCTTATTTATGTCCACGTCTTCTGGTTGAGGATCACAATAATAGAAATCAATATTAACATTTAACATTCTCGCTAATCTCTCACTTTCTGATGAAATGTCAAACCCTTCATATGCATCTATTGCTTCATTTAAATAGCTTCTACGAGTTTTAGGATTAACACCATCAGGAATGTTATAGAAGCGTTTAAATAACCTTCTACCTTCGGCTCTTATTTGATTATCATTCATTTTAGCTGTTCCATTTTTGTTCATTTATGTAAGAATAAAAATTAAATAAAAATAAACTTTATTTTTTTAAAGTCCGAGACTCAGAGAGTCCAGGGCTAAAGCCCATAAAATGAATTAAGAACACATAAATTTTTATCATCTGCGACGTGACGAATACATTTTAATTTACTCAAGAATGCGTACCCTGATACATTAAATCTAATTCCTGTCTTATTTAATTTCACAACTTTGAAAAGGAATGTATGAATAGCTATAAAATGATGAGAAGATGTTTTATGGGTTGCTTCCATTTTTTCTGAAATAAATGAATAAATATAATGTTTATAAGTTTTCATATCTTTTATATTCTTAATAACAAATGGTATAGACCTTTCAACTTCGTCTTCCTTCGGTGCTGTTCTTTCATATGAAACATTATTAGTATCTTCAACAATGAAACCACAATCACATAAAATTTTATATGTTCCAATGGTTTCTTTTGATATTTTATCTAATAAATCAAAAACTTTATCACAACACCTGTGCATTTATTTAAATAATAATTTGTGTAAATATCATGGTCTTCTTTCTTAATCGTATTTGTTGCATATGTTACATTTTTCAGTGCTTTTTTGAATTTTTCAGAATCAAGAGGAGGTGAAAGTAATATACATGGATAATCTCCATCGTCAATAAATTGTAACTTATGTTTATGAATAAATTTTGTGCCTTCTTCTGAAAGTGTTTCGTCAATATCACCATCTAATAAATTTTGTGTTGATTCTGAGACATAATTTTTATATCTTTCTTCATGAGATTTCTGTACTTCTGATTCTGAAGCTGGGATATTCATTAAACCCTCTACTTCATTCTCATTATATTTTTCAACTTCTCTTAATTCCTTAATTTTTTCATCTATTTCATCTCTTATTTTTTCCAATTTCTCAATCTCATCGTTATAATATTCATCTTGTTTAATTTTTTCTTCAAAATATTCAGGAGGTGTTTCAAGGCTCTCTGAGCCCAGGTCCTTTGGACCATAAAGAGGAATATTCTCCTGTTTTTCAACTTTTTTGGGATATAAATATCTCATTATAGCCTTTTTAGTAATTGGTCCGTTATATTTAAATTCATTCAACAATCTGGAAAACTCTTTCACATTCTGCATATATGTTGGATAAGAACCGTCTCCAAAATTTTCTAAAATATTTTCTAATTCTGAATTAGTGAACTTTAAAGATTTCAATGAATTAGTTGTTATACTCATTTATTATAAAATAAAAATAAAAAAATAAATTTAACTTAGTTTTAAATCTTGATTTATTCAAAAACGTAAGAATAAAAACCGTCAGAATCATACATTTTTTACTTCATATGTTAAAAAAAATGATACAAAATCGTTCTATATTGTATGAATTCTTACGTTTACAAAAAAAGTCACACAACCCGTCAACTATACTACTTACATAAGAATGTCAATAATTCATTGTGATTGGCTTCATTACAGTAATAAATATATTCGTATGCTTGAAACTAACAATATCAATCATTGATTCAATGATCATTATTATCAATAAATTCAAACATCAACTATGCTTACTCCTAATACATATTAAAAACCATCAATGAATACTCTTAGGAAGTGTCTATATTTACCTCTTCATTAATGCAACACATAGTAAAATATTTATATTGATGTTTTAATTTTTATTCTCTTTAGTAAAGTCTTTGGTTTTGAATGAAAATTGAGCAGTTTGGTGATTGCCATAATGCCTGTTATATTAATTAATCTTTCAGTCAAAATAATTTTCAAAATCGTGAAATATCTTATTTTAAATAAGAAAAAGTTGTTAAAAGAACTAAATCTATGCTATAAACAAGTTAATTTTTTAATTAATTCCCAATAATTTCTCATATTCGCAAACAATCGACTTATTCTTCTCGCCGCTGAATGTCCTCACGACATCAAGGGCAGAAATCGTTACATTAGTGTCAGAACTAATTCTTTTGAGCAATTTAATGAAAACTCCACTTTTTTCGAAAATTCCGTTATTTTTCGCAGAAGATTTCGAACAAACTAAAGCCAGCTTGTTAACTGCCAATATCCACTTCTCTGCTTCCTCACTCTCATCTTCTTCGTAAGGTTGGAGCATTTTTATGACATAATTTCCTGAAATTTCCTCTTTTTCAATTCCAACAAAGGCTTTTTCTATAATTGGAGCCGTATCAAACCATATATCCTGGTTTTCAATGAATTTATTGATGATTGCGATACGATTTTCTTTAGAAACCTCTTGAACTTTTGCAATGAAACTCATTGCGAGTGAAAGCATGTCATCTTTGCTTGCCAAGTCAGATATGAACGAAGACTTGGATAATTGTACTCTAAATGTTTTGTTTTCGCATAAATTTTGGATTGCAATGGAAAGCAAAGAAATAATTTGAGGATCTGCATCATCCATCTCATAGTAAGGGATAACGAAGTCAAGGATGCCTAATTCAACAAATTTATTCTGCATGAGTGGTGATTTTGTTGTATTTTTGATACATCCAGCTGCATATACAGATGGTTCTTGTTCTTGAGACTGTAGAAGGTTAAGAAGTACACCTGCCAGGTCTTCATCTACGAAGAAGTTGAAATTGTTTTCATCGCAGCTCAATTTGTAGAAGATTCTTGAAATTGGAGAAAGTAATTCGGAATTTGCAACAGAAAAGCATAGTAGAATACGACAAATAATAGTTCTGATTAAGAAGTCATCTACTTCGATAAGAGCGAAGAGTTTAGTTTGTAATTCTGTGATAGCCTCGTGATTAATTAAGCTTTCTACAATTTCTTGCGACCAAGTGCCAACTGTTCCTAAAACTCTATCTAATACTGGTGTAACCATCCAAGAATCATTGTCTGATACATCTTCTGGCTTAGGAATTCTCTTAAGAAGTTCTTGAATTTCAAGAATATCTGTATCAGGAATGAAAACTTTTGCAGGTGATGGCAGCGGTGTATACTCGACTTTCTTTCGAGAAGATGATGTTGGAGTGAATATCTCTCTCTTAATTTCATAATCTGGTTGTAATTGTGCTGTTTTTTCAACTTGTGTCAATCCAAACACAGTACGACGTGGTGTTTTTGTTGTCTGGCAACGAGATGTTGGTGCAAATGATGGTTTTGTAAGCTTGGCTGCTGCACGACTTGGATTTTTAGATTTCATTATTTTTATAAGGCATTTATTAATTATTCCGAAATTGACACTAACGATCATTGTAAAGTCAGTTTGTTCAAGGAAAAAAAAATGACTTCAAATTTGTCTCCAATGGCAGATATCGAAAAATTATTGTTGGATTTAGATGTTTCAACATTCGACTATGCTGTTGAAAAGATGATCACTACAGTTTTAGCATCAAAAACAGAAATTCTTCTGAATATTTTAGAGTTAATGTCGAATTTATTAAATATACGATTCAAATCATATAAGTTATACGCAGAAGCTTTTGCATGCTTATTAAATTCGATTCCAAAAGAAAATATTCCACAAATACATGAAAAATTCAAAAACATCCAACCATTATTTGCCGGCTTTCTTGTTTCTACAGGTGTTATGCAAACTCCCTACATTTTAAGCCAAATTGGAAACACAAAAATGCAACCCGCCTTATTAGCTTGTTACGATACGATTAAAGAGCTTAGGCCTAATGTACTCCAAGAAATAGATCCAAAGATATCGAATCAAATCAAATCCGATTGGAGTAAATTTTATGATGTTTTCATTAACGACGACAGCAAGCAAATATTCAGACTTACCGGCAAATACCTTTTCCCATTTGGCGACGAGCTAGTTGAAAACCATCCAATCTATTTTGCTGCAATTTTCGGTTGTCCTCAGATTTTCACAAGTTTACTTAAGAAAGGAGTACAACTCAATTCGCCGATGTTCAAAACGAAAGTGTTTGAGTCATTGGCGCAAGCAGCTGTTGTTGGTGGCTCTCATCAGATTTTGAAGCGTTTTGATTCTCAGAATATAGATTTAGTTGCTTACAAAGACACAGCAATTAAATATAAGGTATATGATTCGTTGTTGTTCATATATCTTAAAGAAAATCCAAAATCAGAATCTGATCCAAAACTTAATGAAACTATCAAGAACATGTTAAAGTAATAGAGTATTTATGTATAAAAATTATAACTTATATTTTATTTTTTTATCATATATTATTTTAATTACCCATATTTTTCTAACTTTTACCACTCCTATAAACCAGGGGACATCACATATCGTCGCTTTAACATCAACATTTAAAAAGATATTGTAACATTGATCAATTAGTACGGTTTGTATTTAAAAAAAATGAACATTTTTGATTGGTTTCGTTAGCTGCAAGTTGTGTGTTATCAATTGATTTAAAACTTATTGATTAAGTGCTCAATCATGCAGCCTAATAATGCGTCTCTAATAGCATACCGTATGCAAAACATGTTCGGCACCTCTCAATTACTGGCAAATGGCAGAAATTAAGAGGATACCTTTTGATATTAAATTCAATTTAGTGGTACTAAAGCTTATAAAATTGAAAGAAAATTTTAAAAAAGTGACATAAATAAATTTTTATTATGTTTCCAAATTTAGAAAATCAGCCCCAGAACAAAGTAGAAATACTTTACCATCAAATTATTAAATCTCAACCACCATCAGAAATAGAAGAAACGCAATTCAAGTATGAAAAACGCAAAAAGATTCGATTGGTCTGATTATTTTGGTGATAAAGTTAAATTAGATCATACTCAAAATGGAGCACCATTATATGATAATACAAGTTCTAACAATTATTACGTTTCAAATTGCGAGTTTGAAGAATGCACAGAAAACGGTGCAATTTATATCAAAAGTAATAACGAAATCTATACATTAATCGAAGATTCTGCATTTCGTAAATGCAGTTCCACTTATCAAGGTGGATCTGTTTACTATGGCTGTCATGAATTAGGGCATTTTGTTCAACAACAAAATTCTTATTCTGAATCAAAAGCAGAAAATTCTTACATGGCATTTTGTCAATTAGTTAAGTCTTCTTCTACTAATGAAAACTATGCTTTTGATATTTCAGTTTCACAATGCGGTGAAAGTGAATCAAAAGGATATAAAACATCTTGGATTTCATTTGGTGATATTCAAATAAAGAATAACAACATCACTTACAATAAATGCATTTTTCATTCATCAATAAATAGTGTCCTTCAAGGAAAATCAGGATACTGTAATTTCTCAACATTCAGAGAAAACAACCAAACTAGAGAAGGATCTCTTGCATTTGGTAGTCATTATAAATCAAATATACAAACAGTTTCTTATTGCAATATTATTGGAAATAAATGCGGAACAAACAAAGACCAAGCTTTATTTGGTTGTACATACGATACTAAAGTTGATCACTGCGTATTTTTAAATAACACTGCAGGATGTATGTTTGGTATTATAGATAAAGATTGCACATTGACCATTTCTGATTCGTGTATTCAATCAAAGTCAATATCAGGATCAGGAACTGTTACATTTGAAAGAGAAGATCAAATTTATTCTGATCTAAATCAAATAATCTCTTTTTATACAGAATTATGTTTCATACCAAAACAAAAACAAACCACAGTTTCATTGTCTGCTTTTTCTAGATTTGCAGAAACATCACCGAGCTTACTTTATAGTTCCAAAAGATGAAGAATATTTAAATAATTACATTTGTTTCATCGAACCAAGGGCATTCATTATTAAAATTACCTATTTTTCTGCTTTTGCACAAACATTTTCTGCATTATTTTCGTCTAAAAATGAAATTGTCCCTAAATTTTTGCTGACATAATGTTTAAATCAATTTTTGGATATAAGGAAGGAGAAAAATAAAAAAAATCCTGAAATTAAAAACATTAGTTTGAGTACTTTTTGGTAATATGATTGTGACTTTATCAAATATAATGTCTTTGTTGAATTTGTTTGGAGGTTGTGATGACAAACAAAGAGTTTCGAGAGAATTGCAGTTTAGAAATATATTACGTGAATTTTCATCAACGATTTCAAGAGATGATAAGTTGATCATTTTCAAATTGTTGCAATCTTTGAATTGATAATCTCCAAATATCTGTTTGACTTTCGGTAATTCAACGCGTTCAAGTTTGTGACAATTATAAAATGTGTTTTCATATAAATGAATGCAATTTCGAAGAGAAATGAATGTCAGATTATTAATAAAATCAAATTTAACATTTTCTGTTGAAGTGACTAGTCAACAACTTTAAGTCAATAACTTCACAACTTGGAAGAACAAATGATTTGATTTGACATTCACTAAATTGATTAAATGTGATAGTTTTGATCTTTGGAAGAAGAACTGTTTTGATTGATGAAACTTTATAAAACGAGTTTTCACTTAAATATTCTAAACTTGGGAAATTGATTCCTTCGATTTGATTGCAAAATGCGAATGAATAATCTTCGATTTTTATCAATTTATTTGCAACAATCATTTTTAATGATGGACAATTGAAGAAGAAATTTTTTGGAATTTCGAGAATGTTGTTCAAAATGATGTGTTTCAGAGATTTGTGATTAGAGAAATCGAATGATGAGATGTCTGTCAATGAGTTGAAATTAACAAATACTAATTTAGAACAACTACGAAAGACATTTTCATTCATGTTTGTCAAACTTGAAAAGACAATCTTTTCTAAATTACTACAGTTAACAAAACAATTTAGTTTGATCTCTGTCAAATTACTAAGTTGCAAAGATGTCAATTTCGGTAAATCATTGAATGAATTTTTGTCAAGAGATCTCAAACTATTCATAGAAATAGATGATAATGAATGACAATTCTTGAATGCGTTGTTATCGATTGATGTCAATTTGTCAAATGAAATTTCTTCTAAACTAGTGCATGATTCGAATGCACTAATGCCGATTTTGATGACATTAGGGATATCGATCTTCTTCAGATTCTTGCATGAGAAAAATGAATAATCACAAATCTCCGTCAAATTATCAAATCTCAAAACACTGATGAATGGATTGTCGAAAAACAAATATGATGGAACTTTTTCAAGACTAAACATAAAGACTTTTTCAAGTGAAAGACAGTTATCGAATGCAAATTCACCAATACTCCGAACTTTGTTGCCGGTGAATGTTTTCAAGTTCTTGCAGTTCTGGAACGCATATTCTGAAATTGTTTCGCAATCAAACAATGTCAAATGTGTAATATTTGTGTTTGCAAATGCTAATGGTTTCACTTGTTTGCAATAATTAAATGAAATTTTTCGAAGTTTAATACAATTATAGAAAATTTTTTTTGATGCGATTTCTGCTTTATGTAAATTAATGACTTCAAGTGATTGACAATCTATAAATGCACCTTCATTTACAAATCCCAAATCCTTAAATGTAATATTCTTGAGACTATAACATCCTTCAAATGCATATGCTCCGAGTTGTTGTACAGCTTCTAAATTGATTTCTTCAAGAAGTGAGCAACCTTTAAAACATTCTCTATCAATCTTTGTAACTAAAGGAATTTTAACAGTTTTCAAGTAACTTTTTCCAAAAAATGTTAAATAAGCCATTGTTCTTAAATTTGGAAGTATGACAGTGTCCAACAAGGAACAATAATGAAATAGTTCTGTTGATACACGGTCAACTGAATCAAATGAAACTATTGTTAGGTTGGAACAATAATTAAGAGAATTTGCTGCAATTTCCTCGGCCATAGGAAGATATAGTTCTCTTAAATTTATACAATTACTGAAGAAGTGATCTGTTATCACTCTGATATTTGACATATTGACAAATTTCAAATTATCAAAGTATTGCAATTTTTGTGAGAATTTCATGATGTTAATTACTAATATTGATAAATTCTTTGCTTCAGTAATAAGCTGCTCTTGTATATTCTCACATTTAGGCAAAATTAATGTTGTCAATTTAGGATATGATTCATTTAAGAAAAATTCTTTGACATTTTCCATAATTAATGTTTCCAAATTTTTCGAATTCGGAAGGAAAGAACCAAATATATTTTTAGAAGTATCTAATTTCATATATTTCAGATTTGTGCAAGAATCAAACCATTTGGAACCAATAGAAATCAATGGTCCTAAATAAATTTTTTCCAAATCCGGACTGTATAAAAAAGGTGAGGATTCCATGAAAAAGAGTTCTTTGAATGATGCTTCGACTAGATCAATGAAGAAATGTTCGCCATAACAATGTGTAACTTTATCTGCATTGAATATTTTGATTCTTGGACAATCTTGAAATGTTTTGTCATAAATCCTTTGTAATTCTGGTAAATCTACGTATAATAACGATCTGAGATTATTCATAGAATTTTTATTTACTTTTTGTAATGATGGAAATGAAATATTAATTATGTTATGACAATTATTTAAATTAAATGAGTCAATTAACTTGCATTTAGGTAAAGTTATGGTTTTTAATGATTCAATATCAGTTATTGAATTATTGTTCAATGTTTCTTGGTTGTAAAGAGTAAATGATTCGATTTTAGTCTCGTTAATATGATTATTTGAAAGATTTGAAATGGAATTAAATTCCACTACTTTAAGATTTGTGCACCCTAAGAATGGTTGTTGTTGAAATGTAATATCGGCTAAAATAGTAATTTTCGAGAGAGATTGTGAATTTTGAAAAACAAAATCATCGACTGTTCCTTCGAAACAGCCTTCATTAATTATAAATTCGTCTAAATTGGTATATTTTGATGCTTGAAAGCCGTTAAATTGAAATGTTCCGTTATTGATTATAATTTTATTGATTTGGTTGTCGCTAAGACCTGAATCTGCGATAATTGACTGGAGACTTTCACCCTCGTACAATTTGTCGTTGAGAATAACTTGTAATGAATATCCGAAAAATAGAAGAAAACCAATCATTGTCACTTTTTGGAATTGAAGATCAATATGTTATTGGAGGAGGAAAATATAAATAAACGTCATCTGGTTATTGTAAGAGTCTGTGTTATAAGCTAATTAACCCTAACCATTAAATATTCAATAACATTTTTTTATTTTATGTATATTTTGGCTTGTTTATGCTGAAATATTGTTTTTTGATTGATGTCTAGATTATTTTCGATGTTCAATTGTGTTGTTCGATCATGAATTTGAGAGTGATAAAATAGAAGATCATTGTATAGAAATATTTCTTCTATAAATCAATATTCTATGACAATGAATTGTAGAATTATGAATCAAAATACATAAATAAAAATGAATTGCATTTTCATATATAAAGGAGAGCTATTGAGAAATATTTGTAGATCCTTATGATTGTTAATATCACATTATATTGAAATTTTATGTGTGGTCTGAGAATCGGCTGAGCGCCAAATCTTGGCGCCATCAGTTTTGAGAGAGCGCCCTTTTTGGCGCGAAAAGACAGTAAAATTAAATATTTTATTCTAAAGTTATATAGGTATATAACTTATGTTGTATTTGTTTTTTACAAACACTATTGAAATTTCAAATCAATAATTGAAATTTTTTGAAATAATTCAAAAATCATTTTTCTCTCAAGGATGAGGAAGTGCCCGATTGTCATCACTGGTCCAATAGGTGCAGGAAAGTCCACTGTTTGTAATCTCCTCTCTAAATATCTATCTTGCGACTATATCACAGAATACATCGATCAAAAAGGAGGGCCAGAAATGCTTGAGAAACTCAAGTCTGGAATTATCCCAAATGAAGATTTTCAGGAATACGTGCTTGGTACGTTCAACAGACAACTACAAGAAAGTAAGTCCAAAGTTATTGTAATTGAGAGACTACCAGAGGAAGGATCGTTTATCTTTGGTGGTGGAGATAAGACAGTCCTTAGACGTGCAATTGAGATCCAAGAAATTTTTGGTATTCAAGGCTCATCAGGCAAAATGAAAGTAGTTACAATAATAAATCATGGTCAAGGGCCATTAGATGTTCTAAATGAGATTCTTATCTCAATCTTTGGAACAAATACTGTTACAAATGAAGACTTTGAACATTTTGCTCAATCAACTGGAGTTGTTGTATATCTCAAAACAACACCAGCGACATGCATTGAGAGGATTAAAATAAGAAATAGAGGTCCAGAACAATCAATTACATTGAATGATATGGCTCAAATGTGTAATACATATGAGAAATACATCTCATCATTCAATCGTGGATAAAAGGCAGTCCGAATAGCTTTATATTTACTAATATGATTATTTCTATTAAAGATTAATTATATACAATGAAATAAGAATTTAGTTTTGAATTTTTTATTTAATTATTTATTAATACGGTTATTATCTAAATTAAAATATGGAAATGTGTGAACTCTAGTAATAATGGTTCCATCTTCAGCATTTATCCTTGAGTTTGATAATCACTTGAATAATGAGAGAATAATAGAACATGATCTTAATAGACAATATGCTCAGTATGGCAAACATTGATATAGTTTGTATGTGATCATAGAAAAACTTCAGTTTGATCTCGGGATATTCTTATGGTATTTTTTATTGAAAGAGAGGAATAGTCATAATGTATTTTTCATTGTATGGATTCTTTTGATTGTTTGTGGAGTAAATTATGAAAATAATAATGGATATTTTGATACTTGCGTATTTTTTGTTTTTTCACGGTTCTTGTTTTATTTTCCATATTTCTATGCGATATACGAATTACAGGAAGATTAGAAAGTCTAAATAAAGTGAGATTATCCCAAACGAATCAAAAAAGTGACAAAATGAGAACGAAACAATTGCGTGCTCCCCTCCATGATGAATTTGAAATACCAAACATTGCACATATTACTCGTGGTTTTGCAGTTAAATCAATGCGCCCTCCAAATTTGATCAAAGCTCCTTTTGAAATACCAGAAATAACAAAATTCGCTAATTATCAAGATCAATTTCAAGATGCAATCACTCATTGCTTAACTTTAGATCAAGTTGGCTTCCAAGTACAAAAAATTGCTCGCATTTCTCAAAGTTTATCTTTATCCAAAGATTGTGCCGAAGCTCATGAATTTATTTCAAAGCAAATCATAGAATTCGCAAAGTCAATACCTACAGAAATAAGTAACTGCAGAACATACGAAGAGATCGGTCAATTTTGGGAAAAAATTCAATCAAAACTTTCAATCACAACTCTTTCGTTTTCATACTTGTGTGTGAAGTCCTTAGGTCTTCGTACATACCGTGACATATTCCTGGAAGCTCTGCGTAACGAATACACTCAAAATCACGAATTATTCGAAACTGTCGCTAATATCATCATAGAAGCATACAACGAATCTAGAAACGATTGCAGTTCCGAAAAGCTCAAGATACACTTCATTTTCCTTAACGATACCGGTCTTTTTGATACATTATTCATTGAAATGTTAATTAACTCAGTTTTATCGATAATTACGCCAGTAATCAAAGAATCCCTTAATAATGGAATATCCTCGTACCTACATCAAGCTCAAGAATTGAGTATTCGTGAAGAAAAACTTGCATCTCCACTTTTGACACAAACTCAGCTCAGAAAACTCACTTCGAGTGTCAATACCGCCATATTTACCTCCAATCTCAACAATTTTGTTGCTGGTGGCCTCCACGAATTAGTTACAAACAACGATAAAGAATCAATTTCGATTTGCGCTCATTTCTCAACAGCAACGAACACTACATCGACATTTACTCAAGATCTAGCTCGTGTTTTCGAGGAAGAAGTCTCCAAATGCTTCGAAAAAGAAGATCCAATTCCAGATATCATAAATCTCTACAAAGCTCTTTCTTCTTTCAATGCCGCAGCATTCGGAACAAGTAGTGCGAGAGTTCTTACGAGCGGATTTGAACGTGGCTTCAAAGTTGACGATGAAAATACTGCAAGAAAACTTGAATTATCAATTCACAAGTGTTTTCCACTCCAAGTATGCGATATTTCACCATACTATGGCTTGTTTAAGATGTTGAGATGCAAAGATACCTTCCAAAGCTATCATTCCTTGTATTTAAACAGAAGATCTCTCGAATGCAAGCCAGAACAGCTTGAAAACGACAAGAAGTTCGCTGATAACCTTAGAGAAAGTTGCGGTACAAGGTATACAGAGCCAATTGACCAGACTTTCGCTGATATTAATTTATCTTCTTCTCTGAAAAAGAAATTTTTCGGAAAAATACCAAACTCCCCTGTAAAATCAATTTTCTCCCCCTTGATTTTGAAGAGGGAACAATGGCCCACAATAGAACCAATAACAGGCATTGTTCCTGCCGACATCAAACAATGCATGGATGACTTTGAAACTTATTTCAAAGTGGAATGTCGTGGAAAATCCATACAATGGACGATGCAATTGACAAAAGTATCATTAGAGTGCAAAGGCTTCTCTAATTTAACGGAATTGACATGCTCTGGTGTTGTTGCATTAGTGTTGCTTTCTATTGCTAGTGGAAACGACTCTGTTGAAAAGATTATTGAAAATACTAAATTAACTGAGAAAGATATTCAGAATGCCATTGCTAAGATGTCTCAGAGGAAGAATGGAAAGGTCCTTTTGAAGCCTTTGGCCCTCAATCCTGAAGCTAGTGTCGAAGGAGGAAAATTAGATGTATTTTATTATGTTCCTGCCACTACATCGTCCTCTGCAAAGATTCCTGTTAATTATGATAAGCAGATAGAGGCTGCAATCATGAAAATCCTCAAAGAAAAGCAAACTCTTGAAAAAGAAGAATTAAAGGGAGAAGTTTCCAAATATCTTCCATTCAAGTTTGAAGATAAAGACTTTGACTTAAGAATTAAGGCTTTGGATGCTCAAGCTTATATCAAAGTCGATCCTTCTGGAAAAATACATTATATTCCATAAAACGCATATATTTTTGACTAAATTTTGTCGTATATTTATGTATTTTAGCTATTCTTGATCATTATTTTTTCCAACTATCATTTGACAAAGAAAATAAAATTAATTTTTGAAAAATTGCTGATTTAAAGAACATCAACAAAGATATTAATTACTTTCATAAAATGTATGATCCTAACTCATTAAAATATAATAAATAGTAATAATATCATGTTTTTTCCGATAACTTCATGGTTTATTGATAGATTTATTCAATGTATGTAACCTTTCTAAGGTTTTCCTTTGGATGAGGCTCGAAAGATAATGGTTTGCCAACACCAATGCCAAGAAGAACTGATTTTGGTGGAAGACCAAGAACTTCTTCTGTTTGTGGGCGGATAAGTGTACCAAGAGGAACCGTACCAAGTCCAAGATCATGGGCAGCCATCAAAACACTCATGGCGAGAATACCGGAATCAAGTTGTTGAATGGCTGGGGATGCACGCTCATTCTTGACAAGAAGGAAAACAGCAGAGCAATCATAGAGAACTTCCTGCTTAACATGTGTCTGCTTTTGCATTCCAAGGTACATTTGTTGAGACTTCTCATCAAGGGAAGCAAAAACAGCATCGTTAAGCTTTTGGAGTTTTTCCTTGTTTGTAACAACGACGAGATCTGTTTCCTGAACATTCATAGCTGATGGAGAGTTGAAAGCTGCATCAACAATTTTCTCTAAGTCTTCCTTTGGAATGACATAGTTTGGATCATAGCATCTGATTGTGCGTCTGGACTTGAGTTGTGAGATAGACATTATCTAAAAATGAAGTCATATTTGAGATTTTTCTTTTCAATTAGTTTTCCGAACAGTTTCTCCAAAATTTTCTTACAAAAATTTGAAAGGCTACTATCAAAAAATTTATCCCCAATTTTTATCATAAACATATATTGCCTTCTTCTTCATTTTGCGGAGATATTCGGCAGGCAATAAATTTTGAACGAATAAATTCAATGAAGAAATCTGTTGAGCCATCATTAATGATCGGATGATTTGGAGTGATAAATGAATAGACCATCTCATTTATGCATGATTTTTATGAACCATATTGCTAATAAATGTATTTTTGGAAATTTGCAAATCAATTGTCATGGATGAGAGTTGATATTAATAAATATAAAGACTGTATTTTATGTATATTAAGGAAAATGCTACAATGATTTAATAATCAAAGAAATGTTAAAAAAAATCAAATTTTTCCGTTTTATTCAATGGCCTACTTCTTAATATGAATGCATGGGGAAATTGTATAGCATCCTTTACTAGTGAATGGGTCACGTATATCCAAGTAAAATATATTAAAAAAGTTGTGCACCTGAGCATTAAATTAAAAGGAAAAATAATTGCTTGCAATGCAGGCTGCCTGTTGATGCAAAATATTTTTGATGTACTCCTCATGAAATGAGTCTTCATAATTCAAACGAATGAAATGAAGACAAACCATAAATTTAAATTTACGTTGGAAACATGACATAATACTGAATTAACATTTGATGATAATACAAATAAAAAAATTCTTTACAGATTAAACGAGATAATATCCTTATACAAACGAATAGTTACTATATTGAAAAACATTTACCGATTTGTTTTGAGTTTTTATTGTTTATTTATTGAGATATAATAAAACTAATTTTCAAAAATACTAAAAAAAATTTGAAAATTGGATTTTGATGAGCGGAAATATAGATTTGATTATGTAAAAATGAATTTCAAAGTTTTTTTGGAAAAACTACAACTTGGATTATGATTAAATTCCTTGAACTCAAAAGGATTTACATGAAATTCTATAAGAATTAAAGAAAATAACACTGCCGAGATAGAAGTTGAACTCCTGTAATATTCAAGGATGTATTTATTGATATGATAGCTCACAAATAAGTGAATAAATAAAAGAAACGAGAGTAATTGGAAAAAATGAAATTTAAAGAGGAAATATAAAAGCAAAGAGCAGATAATGGAGAGATTTCTAGGTAAAAAATGTTTTGAATAGTTGATAATTTGAAAACTTGAAAAAGAATAAAAAATGAAATTTAATCGAAAAGTAAAAACCTAAAAAGTATTTTTTTTCTATTTTCCCGGTATTAGTGTAGTATTTTAAAAGTGTTTCGATGAAGTTTAATTTCGTTTGGTTTTATTAAGCAATAACATGCGTTTACTGAGCACTGCCCCACTTCGCGATGATGCGGTCAACACCAATCTCGTTGTAGTCTTGCTTAGTAGCCCACTGCTGGCTCTTGTTCTCTGTAAGGTTGGCAAGGATAGTAGCACCAAGATAAACAAGGTAGCGTCTGTTTGGTGGATCTTCGACGTTGATCTTGTATGACTCAAGAGATTTAGAGTTGCCGCCGAGGACTTTGGTGAGAACACTCTTCTTGAGGTCGTTCTGAAGACGCTCAGAAAGACCTGGGAACATTGTGGTACCACCGGAAACAACAATGCTCTCGAACAAGTTGCGGCGGAGGTTGATATCTGCTTTCATGATTGTGTCGAAAAGAAGATCACTGAGGCCCTTGCATTCAAGACCAATGAGATCTGGCTGGAACAAAATTTCGGGTGCTTCGAAACGCTCACCGGAGACTTTGACAATACGGCCGTCGTTAAGCTTGTATGGAACAACAAATGTTGTAGTCTCATTAGCAATCTTACGATCAACATCGATATCGGCGGAGATGAAGCAAAGTTGCTCCTTGATCTCACGGACAACGTCGAAGTCGGAAGTCTTGTGGAAGGTGTAGCCACGAAGTGTGAGAAGCTTGACAAGCTGCTCTGTGACATCACGACCGGAAATATCCATACGGCCTGTAAGGTGTGAAAGAATGTAGTTCTCGGCAATTGGCATGATATGTGTGACACCATCACCAGAGTCGACGACAACACCGGTCATAAGACCCTGTGCGTAAAGAACAAGAAGTGCTTGTGGGCAAACCTGAAGGCGTGGGAAGTTGAACTGCTCGAAGAAAATTTCGCACATCTTCTTGCGGTTGTCCTTTGGATTGAGTGGAGCTTCTGTGATGAGAAGTGGGTGGTCCTCGTTGCGGATCTTCAGCTTCTCTTTGAAAACGTAATCAAGAACAAGTGCTTCGTCCTCCCAGTTCTTGACAATGCCGTGCTCAACTGGCAATGTAAGATCAAGATACTGGCGAACTGGATATGTTTCGTCGCAAACCATAATGTCTTTAAGCTTTGCTTTACTGAATGACTCATCACTGCGAAGAATTGGACGTCCAACGGTGTTCTGAAGGACAAAATCTGGAATTTGGCGTGATGATAAGCCAGCCTTGAGGTAGCCTGTACCAAGATCGAGGACGACAGGTGTAGTTGACATCTGAATTGGACAACAACCGCTGGACACCTCTGAATAAATCAAAGTTTTTTTCGCAAGAGGAAGTGATTATTTAGGCACGAGCACACACAACATACACACATATGGATCAAAAATTATAAATGCCGAATCAAACTTAAAAAATCACTAATATGAGACCTTTTTTCCGAACTTTTCTCTTTTTTCTGTCATATCACTTTTCTATAGCAAATCAACTAATTTAAATAAATCGTGATCCTTTATTAGTTTTAATTTCATAATAAAATAAAAACTTTTTATAATATAAGTGAGCTGAAATGATCAGGTCTTGATTGTCCATCTCAAAATTCGTCAAATTCCTGGATCATCCAATCGCTTCGTTGAAACCCTTACAACTAACAAGAAAATATTATCTTATTATGAGATTCAAATTTTATCCATATCTTTATGATATTTTTAATTTAAGTCTTGGCATGCCAACAGACTGAGTGGAGCATTGTTTTATCGCATATATATATATATTAATCCTATTATTCCGATTTGTTAATCTCTATTACACATTTAATTTCATTATCATGAATTATGTTTAATATTATAACATATCTTCAATAGAAATAAAATATAAAGCTTGAAACTAAGCTATCTTACCATCGAACTTATATTCTTACAGCTAATATTAATGTTCAAAAATATCATTCCATGAGCCCCTTTATACACAACAAAAATAGAATACACACTTCGTATCATATATGTTTACATACAAAAATATAAGTTTTTGATCTGATTCAGATCATTTCGACTGCATCGTCCCAATCCGTAAGCTCATCGCTAACATCAGTTTCATAGTATAGCAGCGAGTATTTAAGAGTTAGTTTTCGCTTAAATTTCCTTGCCTGAGTTTCCGAATCAGTGTCTGTTACTCTATGACTTCTCGTATAGCTGATACCATATCTTCTCTTAGTGGAGTTCTGAATCTTTGTAAGTAAGTCTTCTGATTCCTTCGCATCAAGTAAATCTTTGCTTTTATCTCAAGATCGTCGTGGCCAAAATATTGTAACAATATTAACTTCATTATGCGAAGTAAAATCTCCGCTATCTTGTATTTCAGCCTCTGAAAAATCTAAATCATCACTTTCGATCTCTAATTTTGGAACCATCCCTGGATGTAAGTGTATATGGTCTTCCCCAAGATTAATCCTTCGTTCGAGCATCGATAATCTCATGTGTTTCTTGAGCATATAATAGTTTTCAATAGATTGAGACGAATCTTGATGATTTTTAGTATCTTCTGAAATCCAAAATGGAGTTATAATAACTTTTGGTTCATTTTCGTATGATTTTGGAGTTTGAGTTTCTTCAGTTTGCGAATCGGAGTAATTATTTGATTCTCCTTCTTCTTCACTCATTAAAGAAGATTTAAAGCTCTCTTCTTCATCCTCTTCAGCTTCATCGGAGAAAAATTCTGTAGATTCTGATGACCATTCTGAACCTGAAGGAAGATCGATTTTATCATATTTCTTCCTTCCCATATTATGAAGTTAAAGAATTGAGGTATAACATAGCACAATGATAGATAGGAATGTTTCATCATTAATTTAGTGGAAAAAGGTAATTTGATTCATCAATTTTCTTAAAATCAATTAGACCTGGAAAATAATGATTATATTGTATATACCTTATATCAGATCGATACGTTTCTCTATTTTTAGGTAATAGAGAACAAATAAAATCAGAGATTTTATTGTTAAATAATGAACCATTTTCAAGCTAAATTATAAATGTGTGATCAAAATATTTATTAACTTAAAGAGGTCTTGAATGAAAATGAATTGATTAAATTAATCTTTGAATCATCCGCAATATTCAAAAGATTGCATAGGAAATGGACTTATTATAAATATACATAACAAATGAGAAAAGAAACAATAAAGTTTGCTTCGAAATAAAATATGGAATGACATCAATTGATGTTTGATCTAATGCGCAATTGAATATGAATAGAATTGCTTGATTATAAGCTTAAATTTGTTGGATTAAGCATATATATTAGAAGATTTTGATGAGAATATGGTGAATAATACATATGGATCGATTTTGAATGAATACAATTGATATATCGATATCATACATTATTGGATGGAGATTTATGAAAGGGAGTCAAAATGAGTTTTGATTCGCCAAATTGCAAATCGATGTGAATTGAAAAAAATTGGACAAAAACAGCGAAAACGAAAGAAACAATATATAAATAAAAGTTTGTAAATTTGCTATAGAAAAGTGATATGACAGAAAAAAGAGAAAAGTTCGGAAAAAAGGTTTCATATTAGTGATTTTTTAAGTTTGATTCGGCATTTATAATTTTTGATCCATATGTGTGTATGTTGTGTGTGCTCGTGCCTAAATAATCACTTCCTCTTGCGAAAAAAACTTTGATTTATTCAGAGGTGTCCAGCGGTTGTTGTCCAATTCAGATGTCAACTACACCTGTCGTCCTCGATCTTGGTACAGGCTACCTCAAGGCTGGCTTATCATCACGCCAAATTCCAGATTTTGTCCTTCAGAACACCGTTGGACGTCCAATTCTTCGCAGTGATGAGTCATTCAGTAAAGCAAAGCTTAAAGACATTATGGTTTGCGACGAAACATATCCAGTTCGCCAGTATCTTGATCTTACATTGCCAGTTGAGCACGGCATTGTCAAGAACTGGGAGGACGAAGCACTTGTTCTTGATTACGTTTTCAAAGAGAAGCTGAAGATCCGCAACGAGGACCACCCACTTCTCATCACAGAAGCTCCACTCAATCCAAAGGACAACCGCAAGAAGATGTGCGAAATTTTCTTCGAGCAGTTCAACTTCCCACGCCTTCAGGTTTGCCCACAAGCACTTCTTGTTCTTTACGCACAGGGTCTTATGACCGGTGTTGTCGTCGACTCTGGTGATGGTGTCACACATATCATGCCAATTGCCGAGAACTACATTCTTTCACACCTTACAGGCCGTATGGATATTTCCGGTCGTGATGTCACAGAGCAGCTTGTCAAGCTTCTCACACTTCGTGGCTACACCTTCCACAAGACTTCCGACTTCGACGTTGTCCGTGAGATCAAGGAGCAACTTTGCTTCATCTCCGCCGATATCGATGTTGATCGTAAGATTGCTAATGAGACTACAACATTTGTTGTTCCATACAAGCTTAACGACGGCCGTATTGTCAAAGTCTCCGGTGAGCGTTTCGAAGCACCCGAAATTTTGTTCCAGCCAGATCTCATTGGTCTTGAATGCAAGGGCCTCAGTGATCTTCTTTTCGACACAATCATGAAAGCAGATATCAACCTCCGCCGCAACTTGTTCGAGAGCATTGTTGTTTCCGGTGGTACCACAATGTTCCCAGGTCTTTCTGAGCGTCTTCAGAACGACCTCAAGAAGAGTGTTCTCACCAAAGTCCTCGGCGGCAACTCTAAATCTCTTGAGTCATACAAGATCAACGTCGAAGATCCACCAAACAGACGCTACCTTGTTTATCTTGGTGCTACTATCCTTGCCAACCTTACAGAGAACAAGAGCCAGCAGTGGGCTACTAAGCAAGACTACAACGAGATTGGTGTTGACCGCATCATCGCGAAGTGGGGCAGTGCTCAGTAAACGCATGTTATTGCTTAATAAAACCAAACGAAATTAAACTTCATCGAAACACTTTTAAAATACTACCACGGAGAAAGATTCAATAATAAGGAAAAAGGAAAAACAAAAACTTAGTTTTTTACTATTTCTTTAAATAAATTTTCATTTTTTATTTTTTTTTCAAGTTTTCAAACTCTTAACTCTTCAACATTTCTTTTTGCCCTTCAGTACTTATCAATGCTTTCCTGAATTCTTTAGATTTCGATCAACCAAATCAAAAGCCAGATCAATAATAAATTAATAGTTCATTTGATCTTTTGTATCCATTTATTTTATTTGCTTTTCTTATTTTCATATTTGCTAAAGATTCAATATGTTTTATAAAATAATCACAGTAATTGGAAAACCATCACTTCATTATTGTTCATTTGTAATGGTCTCCAACTAATATCTTTCATTCAAATATCATTTTTTAAAATGTAGATTCAATTAAAGTAATTGGTACTTTCATGGATACTTCCATCACTATTAGTTGAATTCAAGTACGAAGATGAGTATCGTACGATACTCATTGAAGCAAGTCCAGCAGAATCCATTGAATTTCCGAAGAATGTAGTCAAAATTAAAAGCAGCACAGTAGTTAATCGCCAAATTACTGAGCATCAACTTGAACCTCTTAGACATGTATTAAAATATCTTAGTTTTGAAACAGGTTCACTATTAGAATCACTTGGTGTAGGAACATTTTCATCATTTACAGAACTCATTAGTGTCAATTTGAGCATGTGCAATCATTTAAAGAATATCAGTTCTGGGGCTTTTCAGAATTCTAATTTAAATCAAATTTTTCTGCCAATGAATGGAGAATTATCAGGTATTGATTCTGCAGCATTTGAAAACACAAATCTTAAAAGTATAACTATCCCCGATTCAATAAAATATTTTAGTGGGATCAGTGAAAATGAAGTTAATGGTGCTATGTTTTTCAATTGCAAGCTCCTCAAAGAAATTATCATATCAGAAAATAGTTCATTGACAAGGATTGGCTACGCATTTGCTCAACACGCACCTGTAAAAAAATTTTTCATTCCAAAAAATTGCATGATTTCTCCAGGATCTTTTAGTCTCATGGATAATCTCAGCGTAACTATAGATCCCAGGAATCCTTACATGAAGATGTATGATACGTGTATTTATAGTTTTAACTTTGATTCATTATATTGGTTACCAGTTTATTATCCGAATCAATTTTCTTTTCATTCATACTGCGATACCATTGAAACTCAAGCTTTCAGAGGATATAAAACTAATAATGATTTGGTGATTCCAAAAGGAATATCAACCATTAAAGTAGGTGCTTTCTTTGAATGCAATTGTCGATCAATCATATTCCAAAATGAAACGACTGAAACCCCAAATTATTATTTATTTTTAGGTAGTCATGCAGTAATTAAAATGCCAGAAAAACTCAGAGTTGTAAGATCCATGTTTTTCCAACGTTTTGATGGAAGTTACATCGAATTTCTTTCCGATTTGCAAATGATTGAAAGCGAAAGTTTTATTAATTGCACATATTTGGAAATGATCAAATTCAACAAATTAAAAAATAATATGATTATTGACTCAAATTCATTCTATAACTGTGAGAGTCTGAAGCTCCTACCATTTCCATTCGATAGCAGTGATATCATCACATTCAACTCAACATGTCTCAATCGTTGCAAATCATTTAAAGGTATTAAGTTTTATATCATAGTTCCTAGAAAAATAATGAACTTTAATGTTGATAAGAAATTGATTGAGATTGATGTGAAAACTTCAAATTCAAATGGAATTATTATTGATTGTGGAAAATTCCATGTCAAGGATCCTTTTGACGATAAATGCCATATTCCAATCTATTCATGCAATCGATTCCATTCAACACTTGGATTCTATTATTTCTATGTTTTTATTGCAATTGCTATTGAATAAAAGTCCTTATATGCCAGTATAAATAATCTTTCCGTCTGTCTTGAAGGGGGAATTTCTCTCATCGATTACTATTTCATTAACATTTAAATATTAAATAATTTAATTAGTTTAACATTTTCAAAATATAATTGTCACTTTTTCTGGAACTAAAAGTGTAGGAAAAAGTGAGTAATATATATTAATATTACTGCAACATAATTGCTGATCTAAAAACTTTATTTTACTATTCAATTTTTTTGTAAAGTTTTGAATTAACTCAAAAGTCAGAAGATATCAATTTTAAACATATTGATTAAAATTAAGACTTTTTAAACATCGTTCCAACCTTGTATTTTTTAAGGTTATCATATTAAAATTATTAGATATCAATTGATAATTCGTAACTAGTACTCGAAGTATTTTTTAACAGAGAGATTGTTGCAGGGAAGTACAGAGATGAGTTTTGCACCATGTGACAAAAGAACATTGGCTATTTCTTTATCATTGCCTTCTGCTGCATAATGAAGAGCTGTTTTTCCATTTTCATCTTTTTCATTGAGATTTGCACCATGTGAAATAAGAATCTCGACTATTTCTTTATCATTGCCTTCTGCTGCATAATGAAGAGCTGTTTTTCCATTTTCATCTTTTTCATTGAGATTTGCACCATGTGAAATAAGAATCTCGACTATTTCTTTATCATTGCCTTCTGCTGCATAATGAAGAGCTGTTTTTCTATATTCATCTTTTTCATTGACATTTGCACCAATTAAAATAAGAATCTCGACTATTTCTTTATCATTGCCTTCTGCTGCATAATGAAGAGCTGTTTTTCTATATTCATCTTTTTCATTGACATTTGCACCAATTAAAATAAGATCATTGGCTATTCCGTTATAATTATAATTTGTTGCATAATGAAGAGCTGTTTTTCCATATTCATCTTTTTCATTGAGATTTGCACCATGTGAAATAAGAACTTCGACTATTTCTTTATAATTATTTCTTGCTGCATAATGAAGAGCTGTTCTTTCAATTAAATCTTTTTCATTGAGATTTGCACCATGTAAAATAAGAGCTTCGACTATTTCTTTATTATTATATTCTGCTGCAAAGTGAAGAGCTGTTTTTCCTAACTGATTTTTTTCATTGATATTTGCACCATGTGAAACAAGAACTTCTACGGTTTCTTTACTATTATTTTCTGCTGCAAAGTGAAGAGTTGTATTTCCATATTCATATTTTTCATTGATATTTGCACCATGTGAAATAAGAACTTCAGCTGTTTCTCCACTATTATGACGTGCTGCAATGCAAATAGCTTTTACTCCGTTCTTATCTTTTTCATTGATATTTGCACCATGTGAAATAAGAACTTCAGCTGTTTCTCCACTATTATGACGTGCTGCAATGCAAATAGCTTTTACTCCGTTCTTATCTTTTTCATTGATATTTGCACCATGTGAAATAAGAACTTCGACTATTTCTTTATCATTGTTTTCTGCTGCATAATGAAGAGCCGTTTTTCCATATTCATCTTTTTCATTGACATTTGCACCATATGAAATAAGGATTTCAGCGGTTTCTTTACAATTATTTCTTACTGCAACATGAAGAGCTGTTTCTCCGAACTTATCTTTTTCATTGATATCAGGACCATGTAAAATGCTTTCATCTTCATAATCTTCTTCTTCTAATTCATAATCTTCTACGTTATTATCATTGACTATAATTTGATCATATGACTCAAGCAATAATCTGCAAATATCATTATTTTGTGATTTACATGCAAAATGAATAATTCCACTACCGGTGCGATTATATTTGTTAGAGAATGTATTGTTTTTGAAAATATCTATTGTTTGCGGAAATGCAGCACCCCATGGAAAGATATAATATTTGTTCCTGTTGAATAAAAGAAATACAGCATTAAGGTTTTGATATGTAATGATATCTTCATAAATAGGCTGACATTTCCGACCCATCCATTTCTCATAATATAAATCATCACGCGTGAATATCTCTCTATCAAAAACATATTTAAGCAAATCATGATTGTGTGTTCTTATAATGCATCTGAAACAATCAATATCCATTTTATTTTCTTTCAAGCATTCGTTGATAATGTCTTGATTTCCTCCAATTACAGAGTAGCTAAGACACTTTTCAGTTATTTTATTGATTTGATTCAAAATCAAGAAATAAAAAATGTTAACAGATCCAAAATAGGCACAAATTTCAATTAATGATAACTTTCCAAAATTAGAGAAATCATATTTCCCCAAATTAGGAATTTCGAGAAAAACATAATTATCCGATATTGAATTTTGAATTAAATACTCCTTGAATTTATCAATTTGATCATGCATAACTATATATTTGATTGAACTCTCCGTTTCAAATTCAATTTCCGGAATTTTTTTCCCGTTAGGGGCGATATGTTCGAGTATTTTGACGTAACTCTCTCCAGATGCATAATTGTATCTAATTGCCGCATGAATTAACATTGTAAGATGTTTGATAGAAAGCTGATACTTCGAAATCAATGTGTTTGTTATTATATTGCACATATCCTCGATAGGCTCATTTGATTTTATGTGGAAGAGCTTTTCAAAAGCCTCTATAAAATCCGCGTATTGCTTATAATAATCAGAACTCATTATGAAAAAAACGTTTTTTTTTCATGACTCGAGTGGAACTCCATAGAAATGGTTTCGAGGAAAAATTAAAATATATTAAATAGATGTAATCGAACCATTCATGTATGCATAGTTTCATGCAACAATTATAAATTTATCAATAATCTTTGTAAGGATATTCGGTGTCCAATAAAATGAACATAATAATATGCATTTACAAGTATCTGTAATTAGAGGCAATCAATTCTCAAAGGACCCCTTTATATCTTTCTTATTATCTTTTTTTTTTTGCAGATTCCTCTGCTTGTATCTTATGTCTTAATTATGCAGTATTTTCCATGCATACATATGCTGAAATCCCTGATATAGTTAATTCTAAGTATAAGATTATCTTTGATCAATTAGTGCTAATTAAAGCGAATCAAGTCAAATAAACTAATTTTTGCCATTTCCTTCTAGATATTTGAACAAAACAGATTCCTATATAATATCATGAATGGGGGATATATGCCCTTTATTGAATTCAAATAAATCAAGATTAAAAAATGCAACTAAAACAAAACAAATATTTATTAACAAATACAATTTCAAAATTGATAACAAAGCTTAGTTCTTGAATGTCAGTTTTTGAAGCTTAGACATCTTTTGATCAGTAGCATTCATGTTTTCAGCTAAACTTTTATGAACAACTGTGATTTCATTAATCATTTTTGTGTCTGAAGATGGTTTGCCAAGGGAATATAATTCTTTCTGAGCAATTGCAAGCTGTTGCTGAAGCTTAGCTATTCTCTTTTGTTGCTTGTCAATTGTTTCACGATACTTCTCTCTCAAAGATGTTGATTTTGATTCCATAATCTCATTCAAACGAGAAACAACTGATTCTAACTTGCCATCTTCAACGCCGAAGAGTTTGCATGCTTCAACAGTAGAATTTTGCTTGATGTTTCTAGCAAGTTGATTAATTACCAATCTGAAACCTGCTGGAGAGAAATCATCTGTCTTAAATAATTGTGGATTTGGATCATTATGCTTCTTTTGAAGATTGAGTATATATTCGAATACTGTGTTGATACTTTCTGATTGCTTCAATGTTTTTGTCTTTTCGTTGAATAATTTTTGATCATATTCTGTAATAGCTGGAGTATTCATATATTCCTTCTTAATTTGATTGTACCTATCCATATATGTACGTTTTTGTTCATTTATTAAGATTTTACCATTAGAAATGTAATTTAGATGCGAATCTCTCATTTCATTGATTTCATTTCTTAATTCAAGAATACGGCCACGCAAAACAGATATGGGCTTGTTAAGATTTTGTATTTCTTGCTGAATGTTCTTGAAATGATTATCGTATTTTTGCTGTTCTTCTTCAAATCTGTGCTGGTTTTGGGCTTGGAGCGATTTAAGTTGTGCCAATTTTTGATGCGCAAACCTATTTTCTTCCAAAGCGCGATCAATATGTCTTTCAATTCTTTTTTGCTTAACTACTATTCTATTTTCGATAATTTTCTTTTGATTAGTAAGACTACGAACTTCTGATTCGAGATTAATTCGATAATTTTCTCGTTCTTGGTTTAATATGTTAAGGAATACTTCATTAAGTCTATCTCGAGTATATTTTGATGAAATTTTGTGTTTTCCCATTTGCCTGACTATTTGATCAAACGCTACAAGTGAAAAATTGTTTTCAAGGAATTGTTGTAGATGAATAAGGTGATTTTCCGATATTTCCATTGAAAATAAACGTCTTTTTATCAAAAATAAAATCTCAAAATTGTCGTTTAAATCTTCATTCTAACTAACATTGATAATATTTTCGACAAAATATTTCAACACTTTGCAGAATATAGGTGATTATTTTGGTAATTCTCGTCAAATATGATACAAATAAGAATAACATTAGCACTACAATAATTATTCATCTTCCAAAAGGTCGTCTACTATTATTCAAAAATATCAACATATTTTTATGAAATTTTTATATCTAATATTGGCATTTAGACATATATGTATTGTATGTTATTATGTATTCATTTTTATTAATGTCGAAAGTAATTCCTAAACCTGATAATTATATTGGTAGTGTAGCCTTGGCTTCTTTTGATCCATTGGAAGGTACAACGCTACTATGCCAATGGGAGCATAGTTTAGAGATTACTGGAGGCATCTTAGAAGATTATTTAAGATTTTGTTTTAGAACTAATTACATTCCTCCACAATCAAAGTCAAATTCAAGTCCACAACAAGAAACCCCAGCAGCTTTAGAGTTCCAAACATCAATAGTTTCAATTCCAAGTAATGGACATCAATTAGTTACAACAAAATTCCAAAATAATAAACAAAACAAGATAACAAGTTATTGCATGATCTTCGTATTATACATAAAAAACATAATTCACTCAGATGAATTAAATTCGATGTTAAATTCAGTAAGTACAGTTGCAGCAGCCCAAGCAAAGGCAATTATACAAAAAGGAGATCCAATTGATTACATCAATCCTATTGTTGCAAGATCAGTACATCATATAAAAGCATTATTAGAATCTCATATCGAAAAGACACCACCTATGCCGCAAATTCTTCAAACAGATATACCATTCTATTCAGCAGCCTTATCCTCCCATTTTCAAACCCAAATGACTACGATTATTGAAGCATCTTCAATTGAAATCGCGAAACCAATTTTCGACTTCCTTTCTCACTTCCTTCTTCCATACCAATTTGCTCTTTCATCTCCAATCATGCATAACGAACCTATACGAGGTCTATATTTGCAATGTGTTCGTAAATGCAACGAATTACCAAAAAATTTACTGTTTCAATTCGACAGATCATGGACGTGGGTTAGAGCCGATTCCCACATTGTATTCCAATCACCAAATATCTACAGACAACAACAGATTTCAAGGGAATACATGATGTCGATCACTTTTGATTCATCAGCTTCAAAAGAAGAAATTGAAGCGAGATTGACCAAATTCAAGAAGGTTTATAAGACTGATTTAGCAACACATGAAGCGGAGAGATGGTCCAGTGTGTTTATAAGGAAATTGCCTAATGCATCGCCCGTTGAACAAGAGTTTCTTTGCAATACGATGGTGAGAAACTTGTTGGAGAAAGGAATGCTGTTGATTGAATTAGTTGACCATTATTTGAATGAAACTGGTTTGAATTTTTTGAGGGCGGAACAAACAACAGAAATAACTGGTTGTTTGGGAATTACTGACAAAGACGAACTCGGTGCTATCACTGCTGTTGCTCAGCTCTATGACCAGAGAACATTTAAGAGAATGATCACTGCAAAGGACGTGTTGAAAAAACTACTTGCAGTTTAACTTTTTTAATATTTTTTATTTGTTAGTTTGTGTTTTATATATAAAATTTATTTGTGTTAGTTAATTTTCTATAATGATTTTTCTCGGATATAGGAATAATTACTTCTTGGCATCAGCACAATTTTTTTCCTTAGCTATTTAGCTTATGAAATGATTTCACTGATGTTTACTCATTTTTATTCCATTGATGATTTGCTTAATAAGAACTAAGAATGTTGTTTTAATATCAATATTCTTTGCTTCTTTGCTGATGCCAATATGAGATTATATAATGAACTTTTATTCATAATTGATTAACTCATTTTCCATAGTTCCCATCATGTAGAAAATTATTATCATTAACATTTTTCTAATTTAGATGGATAAGTATTGCATCGACGGATTTATAGAAAGATACGAATTTCCAATGAGTTCATTCTCACAATATCTTAATCAATAAAGTTCATTTGGAAATTCAATGCATTTATGGATGGACATGAAATATAGAAAGAATTATGAGAACCAAAGTATTTTTCAATGAGATGAAGCTATTTGATACATTGCATCTGTTGCTGCCTCATAACAAATAACAAATGAATAATTTTGTAATAAATTTAATATTTTCTTATATATTCATTGAAATGCAAATAAAATTAATGTGTACCGAAACAAAGTTTATACATTATATTTATAAAAAAACAAAAAAACAATAATATTAAATTTAATATGGTTCCATAATTGAAGAAATTGAGAGGAATCCACATACAGGACATGAATCAGTTACAGAGATATCCGATGAGTCAAGAATTGCTCCTGTTTCCGTGAAATGGTCGATAAATTCTTTGACACAATCAGAATGACAGAAATGGCCACATTGGTAGCAGACAAACTGTGTTCCAACAAGTTTCTGACCACATAAACAACATTCTGTGTTGAAAGTTATTGAAATATTCCTATGTTTTGGAGATTCATCAAATTTCTCAAACGAAACTGGCTCGGATTCCTTCTGAATGTCTTCGCTTGCCTTTAATATCATATCCGTGTACGTTGCAGTTAGTTCTGAACCATTTACGTACTCAATAATATCTTCAAACGAAAAAATGTTTTCTTCGAGGATTTTATTGACCATTTCTATCTTATCTTCCTCATTTGCAAGCTGTAGTATCCTTTTCCATGTTCTCTGCTTCTCTTCTTGGTTAAATAATCCATTTGCAATATTAATTGCGAATTTTTTGCCTTTTGAGAAAGAAACATCAATAGCCCTTTCTATTTTACCCATATCCAGCCATAATCTCGACACAGATTCAGTCATTCCGTACTTTTTGCACGTTCTTAGTAAAAATGCAGAATCAGGGTATCCTCTTGTCATTTTGCGGACAATTTTACCATCTTGGCCAAGCTTTGCGTATGATAGATACAACAGATTGTCCGTATCTATATTTGGAAAATCTGATTTTATTGATTTTGTCGCAAACTCCGGATTTATTGATAAAAGGGGAATCAGAGACGCGCTCCTTATAACAGTGTTCGCAGACAAGAATTTGGCAATCTCTTGGTCAGCGAAAGGCAAAATTCGCAATAAAATTTTCAAAACAAAATTTTCATCGTATTCTCGATTGATTATTTCGAAAATCTTCGAGATATCCCTTCTAGATATGTATAACTCCAATAGAGATTCTTTTTCGGACTTCGGATCGCATAATGCGACAATTCCTTCCGAAATCTCGAATTCTTGGAGTTGTTTGAGGGTCTGATTGAACATCATGTATCTCTTGTACTTGACAATGAACTCTACCATGTCATCTTTCGAATTCGGATACAAAAAACAATAATAAGATAATATAAGATGAAGAACAAGGGTTCTTTGCTTGGAGAGGTGTCTAGGAATTTTTTCTACGTATAATTTCAAAACAGAAATGGCTAAAAGTGGTTTTTCTTTCAATTTCAAAAGAATATTTTCCAAATTCCAGTTTTTGCTCATAATTACCTTTGCTCCTTCATCAGGGTCCATTGTAAGGATTTTTCTGAACAATAATGTATCAACGTCAACCACTCCTTGGCCAATATATTCAGCTAATACGTAATTTCCTTTTTCTATTGCTTCGCTTGCGATATGTTCTCTAAAATTATTAAGAGATATCACACATATTTGTATTCCATTGGAAATAAGGATCTCTTTGTCTTCGTATTTCAAATAAAAAGTATCAGGAAAATTAATTTGGCATTGACCGCCTTGGAATGAATAAAAAGTGATGTTACTCTTATAACAAACCAAGACGCCCCACTGGAGAATCTCTAATCCTGTAATTCGCTCAGATGAATTCGATCCAATGAAATTTTGCGAAAAAGTGACAGTTTTATTCTCAGAACCTACAGCTTCGAAGATCATAATACCATTGGCGAACGGTGTGACCAATCTACAGTATTCTGTGCCTTCAGAAGTTGTAAGTAGAGAATTACTGATTGTAGGAGTATTTGGAGGCAGCATGAAGTTGTGGTTAGCTGCGCCTGACGCAAATACAAATTCTAATGAGTCCGTACCGTGAAAATAAATGATTCGATCTTTCAATTTGAGAAAAATGAAAACTTGTGGCTCTGTTTGTATGGATATCGAATAGATTTCTTCTGGTTTAGGTAACGCATATATGAACTGGCATCTATTCATTGATTTCAAGAAAATTTGTAAAACTTCTCCTCTTTGAGTGCAAAGAATTAAACTTGTCTTGTTAGTTTGTTCTACCCATGTTCCACATGTAGCTATAGAACTTCTGGGATATTTTAATTCAGTAAATGTGGTAAATTGACTTGACGCATGAAAAACATCGCCATTTTGATATAAAATTGCACAGTTATCACCAGAGCTATCTAATATCAATCGTGGAAGTGTTTGTGATTTATGTAATAATGGGATAATTGTAAATTTTTTATAATTGCTTTTGTCAATTAAAATCAAGGATTTATTCTTCAATGTTCCCCAAACATACTTCTTTCCAACTGCAATGGAGTCAAATTCCGAGTCAAACTCCCAATCGTAGACCTGAGAAAGTGAATAGATTGACATCGGAATTTGTCACTTTTATTTAGTTATTCCAATCTAAATTTTGAACTTTTCAAAAAAGAAATGAAAAATAAGAAATGATGAAAAATAAAAATCGAATAATTTTAATTAATCATTTAAAGAAAACATACGATTTAACTTAGAAAAATCTAAATTGAAAGTTCAATTTAGCGAACATTATCAATCAATAACGAAGACTTAAAGACATATAACTCAGATAAGATCGCATTTCTCAATAATTCATCATCAAAGTTTGATGGTTATTTCAAGTTCAGAGAAGGAATTGCAAAAATCTCTGGTTTCGATATCAAGAGTTTACCAGAAGATGACGAAGAATTAATTGATAGTGCATACAGATTTGCCAGCGAAATTATCAATTCAGAAACAGCGAAAGTCACACAGGATGCATTATACCTCAGAAAAGTTTTACGTATTGAAGGTACAGACAAACATCTTTCAGATGTATTGCAAAGCTCGATAACAAGTGCAGTGCAATTCAGTCAGAGAACGAATGAATACAGACACAGACAGAGAGAACTATGAGAGACAAAGAAAGTCTCCAGTCATCACAGGAAGAACTCCTTGAATGGAGTAGATGGGGAAGGTCTTTGTTCAGACAGATATCAGACATGTCTCCACAAGGACAGAAAGACAAAGACATAAGGCTGACAATTGAGGAACAGTTCATTAGTTATCTCGGTTTCGGTTCATTGAGAAGTAAACTCTCTATTTTGAGGAGTGAAAAAACAATTCTTGCTCTCTTACTCGATTCCTGGATTTATCTATATTTTCCATCTTTATCTTTTGGAACTATGAAGTATGCTCGATGAAGTTGCTGCAAATCTGGAAAAATAAGGCAATAAAACTGTGATTTGTTTTGGTTCTATGTAACAATATTCTGTATAAAAATGGAAAAATTGATTTAGATCAGAATTAATTTTTTCATCATTATATTTAAGAGTTCCTGATCCTGTTGTTGATTTTGATTGAATACATGAATCAGTAATAGTCAATGTGTAACCTTCGAATTCAATATAAAACATATATACTGCAGTGTTATTTAAAAATACGCAGTGATCAACATAAGTATTTAAATCACAATCCTATTGATAGAAAAACAATCCTAAGCAGTATCATTCTTTTGATTCATATCTTATTACCTTATCTTTATCTTCATTTTCAATTGTTGTTTCAAAATATTAAAATCCTTTAATATCTTATCATGTTTCCTTTAAATGAAGACATCATTAGTATTTTTCTTTGTTAATTGTATAGTAATAGATAAGATGAATTTAATCTAAATTGATATCATGAAGATTGACTAAGTCATCAAGGATTCTTGAATGATATATTAGTAAAGAAAATCAAATATTACAGTAATTGTTAAAAGTGAATATTAATTGTTGATGATTTGGAAAAAACTTATAAAAAATATTAAATAATTTGGTATTAGAAATATAATGTATCTTTATGGTAATTTACTTGATTGGATTTGGCTTCTTGTTGACGGAGCGGATAACGCCGACAGCGACTGTCTGCTTCATATCACGGATGGCGAAACGGCCGAGTGGTGGGTACTCCTGGAAGGACTCAACGACGAGTGGCTTGGATGGGACAACCTCGACGATAGCGGCATCATCCTTCTGAATGTATTCTGGGTTCTCTGTAGCCTTCTTGCCGTGGCGACGATCGATACGCTGGATGAGCTTGTCGAACTTGCAGGCGATGTGAGCTGTGTGGCAGTCGAAAACTGGCTGGTAGCCGGCGTGGATCTTGCCTGGGTGGTTGGAGATGATCATCTGAGCTGTGAAGGAAGCGCATTCGACTGGTGGGTCACGCTTTGTATCACCAACGACGTAGCCACGCTTGACATCAGCTGTGGAAACGTTCTTGACGTTGAAGCCGATGTTGTCACCTGGAAGAGCCTCTGGAAGGGATTCGTGGTGCATTTCGATGGACTTAACTTCAGCTGTAACTGTGGATGGGGCGAAGTTAACGATCATGCCTGGCTTCATTGTGCCGGATTCGACACGGCCGACTGGAACTGTACCGATACCGTTGATCTTGTAGACATCCTGGAGTGGAAGACGAAGTGGCTTGTCGAATGGGCGCTTTGGTGGTTGAAGGGAATCGAGGGCTTCAAGAAGGTATGGGCCATTGTACCATGGCATGTTTGGAGACTTCTCTGTCATGTTGTCGCCAGCCCAGCCGGAGATTGGGACGAAGCGGAACATTTCTGGCTTGTAGCCGATGCCTGTAAGGATGCGTGTCATTTCTGCTGTGATTTCGTCGAAACGAGCCTTGTTGTAGTTGACTGTCTTGTCATCCATCTTGTTGACGGCGACAATGACCTGCTTGATGCCGAGTGTGAAGGCAAGAAGTGCGTGTTCACGTGTCTGGCCTTGTTCAGCGATACCGGCTTCGAAACCACCGAGTGTGGAGTCGATGACAAGGATAGCAGCATCAGCCTGGGATGTGCCTGTGATCATGTTCTTGATGAAGTCACGGTGTCCTGGGGCATCGATGATTGTGAAGGAGAACTTCTGGCCTTCGAACTTCCAGAGGGAGATATCGATTGTGATACCACGCTCACGTTCAGCCTTGAGGGAGTCCATAACGAAGGCGTACTTGAAGGAGGACTTGCCGAGTTGTTCAGCTTCCTTTTCGATGGCAGCGAGTTTACGCTTATCGAGACCGCCGCACTTGTAGATGAGGTGGCCTGTTGTTGTGGACTTGCCAGCATCGACGTGTCCGATAACGACAATATTGATGTGCTCTTTCTCCTTACCCATGAGAAATAAAATGAAGAACCATGGTCTTGCGTTTTCTTTCAATATTTCAGAGCTCTAACCGTCGAAATATTCAATGATTTACATCAAGAAAAATTTAATATCTTACTCAGTACATGATATTGATCTATTTTCCCAAAACTTGGCTGATTGCTCTCAAATGAGGGACCATGGCAGAATAAAATGAATACTATTCAAATTTTCAAAAAATGATTCCAACCGCGAATCAGAGGACATAATTATTCAATTTTAAATTGTCTTTAAGATTTTAATTTTTTGGTCATTTGAATTATTTGATAAGATGTTGATTTATGGATTTATGTATTGAAATGTTGAATGCGGTAATTTCGCCATTTAATTCTGACAAAATTAATTAATTTTTGGAAAATTATTTTCTAAAAAATTTTGCCGGACCTAATTTTTATGAATAAATCTTAGTGATTACAAAAAATAGATCATATTACTCGTTTTAATTTTTCCAAATTTTTTTCAAAATCTAAGAAATCTTCTTAAATTCAAGAAAAATTCCATTTATTTTTCTTTTTTTAAATTTTTTTGGAAATTTCTGGTAATTATGGTACTATTATGCATGCCATACAAAAGCGAATGGATTATAAAACAAGCTTTTTTATCACTTATTTATTTTGAAATTTTATATTATTCAAACGTTCTAAGATTTTACAACTTGAAATTTAAAGTTAACCACATGGACATATAATTTCAAGTCTTTTTAACTCACTCTGTATCAAAAGTTTTTATGAATCAAAAATTTAAATTCTTGTTCATCTGAGCATATCCCACCTTTCATCAATGTTCTCAATTTTTTTTTGCGAAAATTTGCGATCGTGATCCAAAAATTTTCGAATCATTTCTCTACAAATGATCAGCATCTGGTATGAAGTGCTGGCAAACTATTTATGGAGATTCCATAATAGTTCTATTACGTTCGATTTTCCTGAAAAATATCAACGAAATAGAGCGTTTCAGTCAATTCAATCGAGTGATGATTTCAGATCTGCAGAACAAAAGTATATGGCAGCTCCAACATACAACTCTGAGTCAACTCTTGATAGATATAAGGAATATATCAATTCGAACATAAGTTACAGCAATTCATCCAACGAAATAGCTGTTTTAACTGGTGGAAATCGTGGGATGGGATTCGAAATCGCTCGAGAACTTGCTAAAAAGCAATATCATTTGATTATTGGCTGCCGTAATGTTACCAATGGAGAAGAAGCCAAAGAAAAACTCATTAAAGAATCCGGAAACACTAACATTGAAATTTTAGAACTAGATGTTTCATCTATAGATTCAATAAATCGTTTTGGAAATATTTTACTATCAAGACGAGAAAAAATTATCAGATTAATGAATAATGCAGGAGCAATGACACATACTTTTAGAACAACATCAGATGGATTCGAAAATACGCTTGAAACAAATTATATTGGCCCTCTTCTTCTTACATTAAAACTTTTACCTCTGATGCCCCCAGAATCTCGCATTGTCAACATGGATTCTGTTACATACATGTGGACATGGCTAGATAAGACAATGCTCATCGATGGTGGCTCATCAGAATACTCTCAACTTCCAGTCTATTACAGATCAAAGTTGGCCTTGATGTTTGCCACACTTAGACTATCAGAAGATCTACAAAAACGCAAAATCTATGTAGCTGCTGCTGATCCAGGTGTTGTTTTAACAGGAATCGTCAACTTGAATCCTATTGCAACATTTTTCGTTAAAAGATTAGGCAGATTCGTTATGTTACCTCCTACTGTTGGAGCTTCGCCAGCAATTAAGCTTCTTACGGATGATCAACCTTTGAATGGCGATCTAATGGGTGTATCAGGCCTGAAACACGTAAGTGATTACTACCGTTACAATGTTGTTAAGAATTGCATATATAATCAAACAATTGATCATTTGTTTGACCAAATTTTCATGTAAAAATCTATTTTATTCACATTTTGAATATTTTTCAACATATAAAACACATTCCAATTAAAATTATGTTTGTTTTGTTGTTGAACTCCATTTTTTGTCATGTAAATTGTCAAAATTTAATAAGATTTTAAATTAACGTACAATTTTGTTATAAATTTATAAATGTCGATCACATCTACATCAAAACGTGTGGTCGCGTTAAATTATAGTGAAACACCTGAAAATGTTGGACCAGGTACATATGATCCAAATGCAAAAAGAACTCGTCTTCGCTCAGCAATCTCCCAAGAAATTCCATTCGGCTCAACAACTCGTCGTGAGTTATTTAATTTACCAGATAATGTTGATATAGGACCTGGATGCTACGAACCTCAATTTGTTGTTAAAGGTTCCGCTCCAAAAAGAGATTTTGCATTAGGATCTAAAAGAGAATACTTTGTTGATACAGAAAAAACACCTTCGCCTGCAGACTATTCACAATTGAATCAATGGATTAAACCAAAACCTACAGAACCTTCGCAATGGATTCATCCAACGGGAATCCGTAGCGCTGCAGATGATTCTCGAAGAGACTTACCTACAGGTCTCGGTGACCAATCGGTTAATAGAGATGCTGATGTCTCTGAGTCGAACTTTGGCAGAAAAGTAGAAAAACAAGAAACGGATTTATTCATTAGACCAAGAAATTATCGTTCGTCACTTACTCCCCAGGCAAGTCCTGGAAGCAGATGTGCCAATTTCGGTAGAAGTCGTGCTCCACAACGTGAGCCAGTTGTATATAACGGAATACCTGGACCGGCTTCCTACGAAACAGGAGTTGAAATTGTTGTTAAGAAAGGAAAATCTCCGGCTTTCTTCCCAACTTCTAAAGATCCGTTGTGGACAGGCGAAGTAAATAAAAATGAAACTATGATATCTCATGTTCCATGGTGCGATGTTGCCCAAGAAAAGAGAGCCTTTGGATCAGGAGCAAAACGTGAGATTGCATTTTTCAATCCACAAACTCCAGGTGTTGGTCAGTATGAAACCACAACCGGAATTAAAGTCAAACCAGGACAAAGAAACGGATTTGGATCAAGCAAAATAGAAACTAGAAGCGATACACCAGGACCAGGATTTTATAACGTTAATAGATCAGAATCAAGGGCGCAATCAACTCGTAGAGCAGCTTCATCAACAGCTCAAGGACCAGCTCGTGGAGAATTATTCGAAATACCAGATACTCCTGCACCTGGCCAATATAATTACACAATTTCAGATACAATTCGTCGTCGTGAGACTCTTAGACGTGGTTCTCCAGCATTTAAAGATAAGAGTAAACGCAGTGATATTATCTCTACTGCAGTTTCTCCTGGACCCGCTTACAATACTCGTCCGAAATCTCAAGCTAAAAATACAATTGGAAAGGCCAATAGATTTACAGAGGACTCTTATGCTGGTGTTAAAATTAGTACTGATCCTTCTCCAGACCTATATAATACTGCTCGTGATGGCCAGATCAAAGGAGGCTTTATTGGAAAGAATGCTCATGTTGACAGGGAAGGAGAAGATACACCAGGCCCAGGCAAATATAGGAACATCAGACAGGATATGACTAAGCCTTCTTATAACGTAATGTTCAATCCAAGTCTTCAGAAAATGAAACCATACATGTGAGATTATCAATTTCAGTATATATTTGTTTGTTTTTAAAAATGTTTATGATAATTTATCTTAATTTTTTAAGATTTTTTTTTCAATTAGAATCCAAATTTTTTATCAAATATTTTCCGCAAACAAGTGTGTACTTTGGAAATATAATACAATAAAACAAATATATTGTCCGAAATTTAGAGATAAAAATTTTGGATTTTAAATCGAAATGATTATTTAACAATACAAAAAGTAAAAAACATATAAACTAAAATTTGATATATTATTCCGCTGAGAAGAGCTCATAAGTTTCGTCATTCATTAAATTCCATTCAAATATGGATTCTGCTGGCATATCAAATGGAGTATCAAGTACATCTTGTGTAACTTCTAAAACAGGCTCATCTAATGATACATTCTGATATTTTGATTTACGAATCGGTTGGATATGAAAATTGTAGCGATTCTTAATGTTATTATCTGATTTTCCTGGGAAATATACACGAAATTGCGCCCAATGATTTCCAAATTGATGAACTAATTTCTTTAACAATTCATCTTCTTCAGGAGTCCATGCAGTGTTCTTGGTATTAGGAGCAAGGTATGTTTTGAATCGTTCTCTGCACTGTCTTGCTGTTCGCCCTAATTTTTCGCCAATCTGCTTCCAATTTGGTTTCTTTTCGAATTCTGTTACAAGTTCTTTAATCATATCATCTTCTTCTTTGGTGAACATCATTCTTTTCTTGGGAGAGCTTTTGAAGTCCATTTTGTTTAGCTTTATTCAAAGAAATGAATCGATTTTCACTCACTTTCAATTGCGTTAGACATTGAAAAATTTGAATACTTTTGGTGATAAAAACATGTCACTGGACATTCAAAGTTATCTACGTAAATGTCCGTTTGACAGACTTTTATTACCCAATAATAGTGTGGTTCTTTAATACAAAATAAACGATTCGAAATTGTCAACCCCTTTGAACTTCTCAATTTTCCGTTGATTGATAACAACTCTGAAAAATTTATTGATCCCTAAAATACAAAAACTAACCAATAATAATTATTTTATTATAAATAATGCAAGTGACAGAAAATGAAATGTTTTATCATTCTCAATTTTCTCAAATATTCATGTGCAGGTGACCTTTCAATATAATAGAATTTAATTATTTAGAATATCGGCTATATGCATTATAAGACATTTTTAATGGGTTAATTGAAAGAGTCGATAATTCAGAAATGAATTTTTTATTTAATCGAAGTTGATTAGATTTAATTTCATATTTAGAGTAATATTTACTAAATTGGTTTCTTTCTAGTGACATGTTTTTGGCGCATAATCTTATCAATTTTTTATTGTTCTCAAAAGCCCTCTCAATTTCATAGTTAGGCTGACACGATGTAAGGAGACATGAATATTAGGTATTTTATTTAGATAATTATTGAAATATGCCATTACTCATCTCCTTAAAATATATTTCGTATTTAAATAATACCATTTCAAAAATTATATTTGAAATATTCATATCATTATTTACAATATATTTTAACAATTTAGATAACCAAGTTATTAATATTATCATTTCCATCTAAAGCTTTGTTATGGAAATCAGATTTGATTCCCACCCACAATCAAAGTCCCTCAATTCAAGTAATATTGGGTATTTTTATTGCAAAAATATTTACAAGAGCAACAAAACTAATTCAAAAATCAAATCCGTTTAATTTATTAAAATGATTTGATCCAAAATTATGCAATCTAGTCACTTATCATCTAGTTATATCATTTTTAATGCAGTTTAAGACTAGACGACAAATATTGTTCCAATAATAATCAGATTTGGAAATAATTTCTGATGGAGATATTTGCCCAATTATATTTTTAATGTACAAATATAAAATATACATATAGTATTTAAAAATAAAGCATAATTTACATGGAATTTAACTCTCAAATTTTCTATTTTTTAAATTGAGTATTTTACGATAATCTCATTTCTCGCATTTTTCAAAATCAGTTTGTTTGTCGCAAACACATGAATGAAATCATTTTCAAAGATTTATTATCAGAATTTGTTTTCTCTTAAATTGTGATATTCAATAAAAACACAATAAATATGAGATAAATATTGGTGATACTTTAAAATCGTGCATCGTCTTTTTTTTATTGATTGTTTGAATTTTTCCAGTTAATTCAAGTTAATCATTTGAAAGTACACACTGTGAAATTAATTTTTTTAAAAAAATTTATAAAAAGGTAGTCTCACGAGAAAACTGACGGTAAAAATTCGATGAAACCAGGTGCATTGTATAGTACATATATGTGGTAAATAAATGTCGATTAGCTTTGTAAAAAATATCCCACAGTTTTTGAGATCTTGAAAACGGCCATTCAAAAAGTCGAAAATTTTCGCGAGATGTTAATGGGCAAGACAGTTTTTCGACAAATAAATCGTAAACATGGGAATTAAAATAAGGCGTTATATTACATATATGGTAAAGTATATGGATGTGAAGAGCGTTAGTAGAATGGAAAGACTTTGAAATTTTAAAAAATTTATCTGGACTAAAAAATTATTTGATTATAAAAAACATATTATATATCAATTGCTATATAGAACTATCATAACAGATTTTGGAAAAGCCGCAAATCCCCAAGTTGGAGAATTCATTAAATACTAATTATTCAGCTTTTTATCAAAAAGGAAGGTAGTGTAGTGGTTGGGAACACTATGCTCTTTTTGAATCTAAAAGGCAACTGTTCAAATCATAACATCTTTGTTTTTTTTTCTTATTCTGCCATTATTGTTTTTCCTTGTTATGATTCAAATTAAAAATATTTTAGTAAAGGTATTTTGGACATCATTTTTTCACATTGTCTCAATGCAAATGTTTGAAAATTTTGTAGGCAATATGACAACTCTTTCAACATTTGTTCTCTTTTATTAACTCAAACAGATTTAGGATCTAATTTCATGCCTTCGAAGACATTTAAACCATCTTCAACATAATTTATTGACAAATTGATAACAATTACTCATGAATGTCGTAGATTTAATATCCTGTCACTCAGCAACAAATTCGGGTTCAATAACAAAGCTCAGTAAAAACTTTACAGAAATTCTCCAATTTATTTTAGTGTCTTTTTGCGTCATTACGGCTGCATTTTCTTCTGCATCTGAACGCTGTGTTTGGAAGAAGACGAAATACAGAAACTTTCAACACAAGTAATCAGATTTTCTTGTCTTTCATGTTAAAATGCTTCATCTCGCTAGGTATACGTCATTTATTGGATGGATTGTTAGCTTTGTGTCCAAATAGCAAAAAAAAGTATTAATTTAAATTTCGCATTTTGCATAAGTATACGCTTTAATTTATATCAAAACAGATTTAGATAGCTTAAAACAATATAGTTTACTCATAAATACATCTTGATAATTCACTTCTTCAATTTTCATAATCTTATATCCTGACCTATATCCTCTTATAAACCATATTTCTACTGAGATCTTCTTAAAGCATCTTTTTATCCCTATCTACGCCTCGAAACCCTATTTTTCCGGCGGAATATGAATCTTCGGGTCTCGCTGATTCGATTTCTGCAGTCAGATCGTAAAAATACCCACTACATAGCCTGATAATCTCAATTTAAGTTCCTTAATTTTTTTGAAAAAAAAATTAAAACTCCCTTATCAAACATCATGCTCATTTTTACGAATTTCATTTTTCCTTTAAGTTTAAAATATACGCTTTTTAGCATGTTTATAATACATTTTCAATTTACATTTACATTTTTATTTTTGAATTGTTTATTTATATTTCCGTTTGAACAATAATATTTATTGAAAATTGTGAGAGAAACGGATATAATAAAAAACACCATACAACAAAATTCACTTTTTTTCATACTTACGCGGATCACTCCTTTTCGGCCCAATATGCCGGAAATGATAAAACTCTCAGATCTAGTTGCTAAGATCCAAACTCTCGACTCTCAAATCTATTTCCTCAGATATTGTTGCTAAGATCTACTTCCTCAGATCTGCAAGATCTACTTCCTCAGATCTTGTTGCTAAGATCTACTTCCTCAGATCTTGTTGCTAAGATCTAAACTCTCGACTCTCAAATCTACTTCCTCAGATCTTGTTGCTAAGATCTACTTCCTCAGATCTTGTTGCTAAGATCTAAACTCTCGACTCTCAAATCTACTTCCTCAGATCTTGTTTCTAAGATCCAAACTCTCGACTCTCAAATCTACTTCCTCAGATCTGCTAAGATCTACTTCCTCAGATCTTGTTGCTAAGATCTACTTCCTCAGATCTTGTTGCTAAGATCCAAACTCTCGACTCTCAAATCTACTTCCTCAGATCTTGTCTGACTCTCAAATCTACTTCCTCAGATCTTGTTGCTAAGATCTAAACTCTCGACTCTCAAATCTATTTCCTCAGATCTTGTTGCTAAGATCTAAACTCTCGACTCTCAAATCTACTTCCTCAGATCTTGTTGCTAAGATCGATCTATTATACTCAATTTTACTTAAGCAATATAGATCACCTTTATTATGATTCTCTTTATCTGTACTTGTTTAAAATTAAATTACATCATAAAGATCTAATTACAAATTATTTAGAATTTTGAAATAAAACCAGTATTTTATCAAATGCTTTGAGATTAATGCATTCAAACTTAAAAAAAAAAGATATATTCAGATCAATTTCAATATTATTGATTTTTTAATGTAAAAACTATGTCTACATAGATCTCAAACAATTTTATTAGATACTCTTTTTCCCAATTTTTTTCAAAATCTCTTTTTACATATCAAAAATTGTATTTTTCAATTTCATTTTTATTTTTTCCATATTTTTTTTGGAATTTGGATATGCGTCCAAAGTAGTTATGTCATTAGAAAAATATTAGATATCTGAAGAGAAAATGATAACTTAGAGAGTTTTAAAGATTTTATTTTCGAATACAAATATAGACCTCAGAGGAATACATTCTAAATAAATTTGTATCTGAGGGTGAATAAATAAGAACAAAATTTAAAGGGTTAGCATAAATAATGTAGAAATTAAGATTGGAATTTAAATTTAATACAAAATTAAAGGGAATGAATTTGCGATTAGTAGGGTATGGCAAATGGATTGGGAAACATTGGTTACACATGAAAATTATCAGATGTAAGAATTTGGTGCAGATATTTTAAAAATGAGATCTGAGTGCTTAAACAATATCTCAAAATTCAAATTTTCCAAATGAAAATTTGGAAAATTCCCAAAATGCAGAATCAACTGATGATTTTCAATCATTAATAACGCCAATACAAGAAGATCATTTTCCTTCTGCCAACGAACTAAAACAATGGTTTGATATTGCCCATGATGTTTTAATTAGTCCGCCACCTGAGAATCAACATCCAGAAATTGATGAAGAAGAGACACAAAAAGCAATTTATCTATTACAAAACTTAGACTTTCCTAAGAAATAAAATTATTTAATTTATTCTTGTTTGTTTTTTAATTAAACATGTATATTTATTAACATTTCCTTTTTTAATACCTTTCCAACTTCTATTAGTAACAAATACATAACTAATTTGAAGATTTAGCGTTATGAAGAAGTATCCAAGTAATAACGTCAATAATGCATTTGCGATAGGATATAATTGCACCAAAGGTTAAAACTTGTATAAAGAATGAAAAATGAAATTTAATACAATTTTTTTTCGAAAAAAATCCATGCTTGGCTAGATTTTCATAGTTATTGAATATGCATTACTGACATCTTGTAAAAGATGCCGATCAAGGCTTTCAAGATTGCTAAATTTCTCGATTAAAATTTACATTTTTTTTTTATTTGTGTTTAATTACATTTTACAGTTTGCAGACTTACATAAAATCCGCAACATAGTGGTTATTTAATATTTGCCCCACAGTATTGTAGTTTGAAATTTACGATAAGATTATAATTGATAAAGTAAGGTTTTGTCATTAATGCATCTTATAAACTTTCATTGATAAATATGGATAGATAAGTTCTGTGTTCAAAAGTAAGCATTTTTTAAAACGCGCAATTATATCAAGAACGACTATCATAAATTCATGAGTATCGATGATTTTCGTTTAGGATGGACTTAATCGGCTTGATTGATATACATATTTTAAAATGGCATAGCTTTGTGCATGTTATGTCAAGCATTGTGCCAAACCAATTTAAAATGAAACAAATTATTTTAAAGAAACTATATATGAACTATTCGAACACTTTATATTAATGTAGGGAGCTATAAATTTAAATATTCTAAAAATTTATTTATTTGTTAAGAGTTCGGAACAAATTTATTATTGAATATATAGGAAATCAAATAATTATGCATAATCGCATAAAAAAATGCTGAAACAATGAAAAGAAAAAATAGTTGCCCAATAGAAAAAGTCGAACCCATACCCCTACCCATTGAGTTATCCTCACTTTCAAGTTTCGATCGAAAAAAAGGTATTTAACCGCGTAACTCGCACCTTTTAGTCGTATTTCGAAGTTCTATATAGTATTAAAGATTAAGTTACATTATGTACAAAATAACTTTTTATTGTTATTTGATTTTGATAGCATTATTAGCTGAATATGCAAAATCTCGTAGAAATAATCATTTCATTCAGACATAAGTATTGGATTGTTTCCCAACAAGCATAATAACACACGTTTCATATTATAATTTATTTCATTTCTGTACAAAATTTAGATAACGATATCAAATAAAAAAAACTGTGGCATTTTTTTACTTCAAACTATCATGAAGTGTAACCAAATTGGGTGAGTATTCTTGCTATCAGTATGACATGAAAAAGTGAACGACAAAAATTGAAGATATTGTAGTTAACTCGGATTTTTTTAATTGCAAACACATCTATAATTTGTTTAAATATCATTTATTATATCAAAATCGAAAAATTCGTTTTTGGAAATCTTTGAATTTATGAGAAGTTCTACAAAGACACTTACAAATATAGCGTTTGCAATAAAAAGGCTCTTTAATCTTCTTCATCCTTGCTCAGAAACTTCTACTGGTTACCTTACGGGTAACCTGCAAAGCTGCTTCCAAGGCATCGGGAAAATAACGTATTTTCGTGAGACTACCTTTATTTATAACCATAATTATTTTTTTTTTCTTCAGATTTTTTTTTGACGAATACAGGTTTTATTTGAGTAACTGCTAGAATACTCAAGTCACAATTGTATTTTATTGTGAAAATTACATTTTGTATATGATGTTAAGGTTCAATGAGCACTTCTCAATTTTCAGTAAAACCTCATTTTGTCTGAAGGTTAAACCATTTCTCTCTTGTCGTCTAAAAAGATTTACATGAAATTTCCTAAAGAAATATGTACTCATATGAACACATGTATATTTGACTGAAAAATAACAAGTATATCTCAATGAAAAAAAGGAACAATCTTTTTGAGACAACAATCATTTCTAATCTGAATTGTCATTCACAAACAAGAAATTTCAGCAAGAATCTCTCAGATATGTGGCATGAAGGTTATGGATGCCTAAACAATGAAAATGAGATTAATATCAAATATTAGAAAGTTCAAACATTGAAAAGAAAAACAAACTAAAGTAAAATTTAAAATAATAAAAATATAGTTTATTCAAAAAAATAAAAATTACTCATCCGATTCTGATGAATCTCCTTCATCATAGTTATTTGTAGCTGATGTAGTAAACAGCCATTCGTAAGAGAATTGTGAGTCCATCTGTTTAACAGGCTTTTGGAGTTTAGCTCTTGGTGTTGGTGGTGAAATATCATCCAAAGTTGCTCCGTCAGGGAGAACAGGATGTTCCATTCTTTCTGCGACAGATCTCCACAAAGGAGCATCAACTTTCATTCTCTGGAGTGTTGTTCCTGCCTCAAGGCTCTGTACAATAGTAATAAGCCTCAAAATAGAATCGAAAGCTTCAGGGAAATTACTTGGTAAACAAACAAAAAGAGACTGAATTTCTCTCAATTTTTGAAGCAAAGAAATGATGTTTTCAGCCTTGAATTTCTCTGATGTCGAGACGATGACGTTGAAGATGATTGCAGCGAAATAATGTGCGCAAGATACGACAATTGATTGGACAACTTCTTCAGGAATAGAATATTTTTCGATTGATTCTTTGAAAACCTTTGAAGTTTCCTTTAATTTCTTGTTTGATTCTTCATCGAAAGTAATGTTTTCTCCATCACACATTATACATGTTCCGATGCTAGAAAACAGCTTCTGCATCAATACATTCATTAATGTACTGATGTACTCTTCAATCTTCTTAATTACATCAAAGTGTGTTGATGTATAAGGGCCAGCAATCATCTGCAATTGCAATCCGAAATTGATGATTGTTGACAACAAACCTAAAGCGCCATCTAAGTCTGTATCAGAGGAAACAGCGTATTTGATTGACATCAAAACAGGTTTGAACATGGAGTTGACGTCTTCTTTCGTAAGGGACGTGAATTCGAAGATTCTGTACCTTGTCAATGGATCAATCATTCTGTCAGTGAAATTGAAGTTTCTGTTTGTTGGAAACGCGACATATCTGAAGCAGATGTAACTGATTTCTGTTCCACAGAACTTGAGAGCGATGTCTAAGAGGTTTCTATCATGAGCAGTAAAGATCTTCGACATCTTTTCCTTGAAGATTATTCTGTTCTGGATTTCTTCCTCTGATTCAACTCCCATTTCGTTTGCGAGTCTTTCCAACGCTGCGTCATCTTCTGCATTGGATTCGCTGGCGTTTTCTCCTGCGAGTTTTGCAAGTAATGCTTCATCATCTTCTTCGTTTGATGAGCTGTAACTTGAACTCTTTTTGACTTCTTTTTCATCTTCATCCATAATGGAATCACTGTATTTCTTCTCTTCTTGTTTGTTGTCTTCTTCATCCATGATGGAATCGTTGTATTGTTGCTGTGGTTTGTCTTCTTCATCCATGATACTTTCTGCGTAGATGGATGCAGAAGCAACAGTTGCAACAGCGGCGACAGCAAGTTTGGCTTTTTCTTCTTCGTCATCGGAAGAAGAAGAAGATGAAGATGAAGAAGACTTCTTCGCCTTCTTCTTTTCTTCCTCTTCTTTCTGTTTTTGTTCTTCTTCCAAAAGAATTCTTTCTTCTTCCTCTTGTTTGAGTCTTTCTGCCTCTTCTTGTTTACGCTTTTCCTCTTCTTCAGCTTTCTTCTTTTCTTCTTCCAATCTCTTCTTTTCTTCTTCCTCCAAACGAAGTCTTTCTTCTTCCTCTTGTTTACGCTTTTCTTCTTCTTCCTTTTGTCTTTGTTCTTCTTCAGCTTTCTTCTTTTCTTCCTCTTCTTGCTTGCGTTTTTCTTCTTCCAATCTCTTTTGTTCTTCTTCTTCAGCTTTCTTCTTTTCTTCAAGAAGTTTAAGCTCTTCCTCTTCTTTCTTCTTCCTTTCTTCCTCTTCTTGTCTGAGTCTTTCTTCTTCTTCCAATCTCTTCTTTTCTTCTTCTTGTCTGAGTCTTTCTTCTTCTTCTCTCTTGATTCTCTCTTGTTCTGCCTTTTCTTCCTCTTCTTTTCTCTTTCTTTCTTCTTCTTCTTGCTTGAGTTTATCCTCAGTTTCGACTTCTTCGTCGAGATTGATTTCGTTTTCTTCGTGATTTTCTTCTTCCTCAGCAAGTTTCTTCAACTCTTCCTCAGCTTTCTCATCTGGTTCATCGTTGATTCCTTGTTCTTCAGCGAGTTTCATAAGTGCTTCATCGTCATCACTTGAACTAGAACTAGATGACGAACTTGAAGAAGATTTCTTCTCTTTCTCTTCAACTTTAACTTCAACTGCAGCAACAATTTCTTCTTGTTTCTTCTTCTCTTCTTCCTCTTTCTTAATTCTCTCTTCTTCTTCCTTTTGTTTCCTTTCTTCCTCTTCTTTCTTCTTTTGTTCTTCTTCTAATCTCTTCTTTTCTTCTTCCTCTTGTTTGAGTCTTTCTTCTTCTTCCAATTTAAGTCTTTCTTCCTCTTCTTTCTTACGCTTTTCTTCTTCTTCAGCTTTCTTCTTTTCTTCCTCTTCTTGTTTAGCTTTTTCTTCTTGTTCTTTCTTCAATCTTTCTTCTTCCTCTTGTTTGAGCCTTTCTTCCTCTTCTTTCTTACGCTTTTCTTCTTCCTCTTGTTTACGCTTCTCTTCTTCTTCAGCTTTCTTCTTTTCTTCCTCTTCTTTTTGTCTTTGTTCTTCTTCTAATCGTTTCTTTTCTTCCACTTCTTGCTTACGTTTTTCTTCTTCTTCATTAATAAGTTTGGAAGAATCTTCTTTGTTTTCTTCAGATGGTTCTTCAGCTTTGGATTTACGATGATGTTTCTTCTTTTCTCCGACAACTTCGATTTCTTCGATTTTCTCATCATCAGATTTGGCCTCTTCCTTCTTCGGTTCTTCTTCCTTCTTTTGTTCTTCAGCCTTTGGAGCTTCCTCTTTCTTCGTTTCTTCTGATTTCGGTTCTTCATTCTTCTGAATTTCTTCAGATTTAACTTCTTCTTGTTTCGGCTCTTCCTTCTTTGGTTCTTCAACCTTTGGAGATTCTTCTGGTTTGACTTCTTCTTGTTTTTGTTCAACTTCATTCGGTGATTCTTCTTGTTTCTCGGCTTCTTCGCCGTTTTCGGATTGCGCAGCCTTCTTCGGTGGTGGTGGCTTGTTTGAAGGTGGTGGAGGCATTGGAACTGCTATGTATTTGACTTCTACTTTAGTATCTTTATTCGATTCTTCTTTTTCAGCTTCAGTTGGTTCTTGTAATTGAGAATCTTCATTTTTAGATTTATGATGATGCTTTTTCTCCTTCTCTTCTCCCGCTCCAGCCTTTGATGAGCAATGTTTCTTTTCTTTTTCTTCTCCATCTTCATTCTTTGATTTGTGGTGATGATGCTTCTTTTCTTTGTCTTCTCCTTCTCCGGCCTTTGATTTCCGATGCTTCTTTTCAGTAGTTTCATCTTCATTATTTCCATCTGCTTTAGATTTCCTATGTTTCTTCTTTTCCTTTTCTTCACCTTCCTCGGTAACAGACTTATCCTTGTGATGATGTTTCTTTTTATCGCCTTCGCCTTCCTTAGATTTGTCATCTTTTTGTTTCCTCTTCTTTTTGGTTGGAACAAGCTGATTCTCGCTATCTCCATCATCATCTTGGACATTGAGATCTGTAGGATCGTCGTTGTGAAGAGTGTTCTCAATTTCGGGTGCTTCAGCTTTGGAAGTGACAAATGAGAAATAGCTCTCTGGAGGACCATCAGGATAGTCTGTTTCCGGAATTAAAACGATTCTAATATAAAGTGTAGCGATACCGAAATCGCACTTTGTTTGTGATGTTTGAACAGAGGAATCTTTTGGATCGGCAAGATTAGCAAGATCAAATTTCCATGTACAAACAACTTTTTCTGGCTCCTTTTTAGAAGCAACACTCAAGCAGGTAATTTCGACAACTTTCTTTTGAGGCTTTTCACCTTTCTTTGTGAAAATTGTTACAGGAATCTGAAATTCGTTGTTGAATTGGACAATATTGTTTGAGTCTGCAAGCTGGAATTTAGTTTCTGAGTTAAATGCTTTTTTCATTACACCAGCTGATGATTTTTTCCTTTCCACACGGACAAATACAGGTACATCAACTTTCTTAGTAAATGCTACCTTTTCAATTAGAATAAAAGAAAAATGAGGTGTTGATTTATATCCGATGTGAAACATTTTATGCTAAAATTTGAAATAAATTTGAAATTTCTAATCTAAAATCATGTATTAATAATTATTCTAGAATTTTATTAAAAGTGCCGATACCGCGATTTTAAGGGATCACTACCTTAGTTTACAACTATTCAATTTTTAATATTTGCTTTAAAAATGGTATAACAACAAAGAATTGGCGACCAATATTATGAAATATATAATCAATGATACAATACTATCTTATGCGCAAATTTTCAAAAAAAGTATTCAAATATCTAATGTGGTGAATATTTGATTTGGGTTGTTGACTTTTTTCAATAATGAAGATATAGACTCTTAATCATATTTAAACATATTGTTAAAAAAAAAAAAAAAAAAAAAAAAAAAAAAAAAAAAAGGTAGTGGGGCTTCCAGGCACTTCGTGCCCTCTAGCCCCGAAGATGTTTAGGAGAAATGAAGTTTTGAGGACATACATGACTTTGAGTTTAGATATGACAAGATAGAATATGAGAGAGGTCCTATAAACCGGAGAAAGTGTCATATAAACATCTGTCATTTTACTCAGAATTTTACTCAGAATTCAATAAAAATATATTTTAGGGTAGAAGGGTATATCTACCCCGTTTTCTAACCTCTTTTCTACCCCATATGTCCTTACTGAAAATATGACCTTTGACCGAGTAGTTTTCATGTTTTGTCACTTTTCTGTCACTTTTCAGGAAAAAACATTTTTATTATATATATAAAATGAATTTTACAAAACCACCGTTACCCTTCTTTGGAAATAAGAGTAGATGTAAAGATATTCTATTGAGAGAACTTAAGAAACTACCGAATGGTCTAACATTTGTAGATTTGTTCGGTGGAAGTTTCTATATATCCCATTTGTGCCATATAATATTCCCAGACTCAAAGATTATATGCAATGACTTCGACAACTATACGAACCGTCTCAAACATATACCAGACACAAACAAAATATTGAAAGAGTTAAAAGAAAAGATACCTATAGGTAAGATGGAACGTATACCATTAGATAAGAAAAATACTGTCAGAGAGGTTTTGAAAAAAGCAGAGTATATTGACTGGGATAGTATATCTTCTAGACTATTATATAGTGGTGCTATAAGAGTTCATGACATTGAAACACTTATGTCAAACGTTTTATATCTTAACTATACAAATGTTTTCAAAGAGAACATAGAAAAATATATTGAGGGTATAGAGTTTGTGAGATGTCATTGGACAGAGTTGTATGAAAAATATAAAGACAAGGAAAATGTTTTCTTTATAGTGGACCCGCCGTTCTATAACACATGGGATTTTCAATACCAAGTAGACTGGACTTTGAGAGACTCTTTAGAAACTTTAGACGTTTTACATAACCATCCATGCTTTTACTTTACATCCGATAAAAGTGGTTTGGAAAGTGTCATGAGATGGTTAGAGGACATACATGACTATGAGTTTAGATATGACAAGATAGAATATGAGAGAGGTCCTATAAACCGGAAAAGTGTCATAACAAAGAAATTTTACTAGTAAGTAAATGTGGTTTGAAATAGGACTACTTGTTTTAGGTTTTTTCCATTGTGTCATTTACTTATTTGACGTGGCAGAAAGATATAGAGAATATGAAGATGAACCAATACCAGCAAATGTTCAGCATATGTACTCGTAAGAGATATTTTTATCTAATATTAAATGGACGCACAGAACTTAGCGAATGCACAGCAACCTGGACAACCAAACCCAGAAAATATTCCAAATGAAGTTAGAATACAAACTGCAATGGCAAACTATGGTCAAGTGCCAACAGATGTACAAATGCAAACTGCCATGTCAAATGACGCTGCGTTAGGCTTACCACCATGGTATGCAAATATGAGATGGAAAGAGTTTTATACAAACCCGAAGTGGGATATAAACAACTCTATGCAGATGACGCGAACACAGGAGTTGACCCAGAATATGTTTTCTACCAGAGGAGAAATAGAATGTATGAGCTCCAGTTAAAGAATGCATGGAACTCAACAGGAAACGTAAGAGACTAGGCGGACATTAGATTTTTACATATAGTAAAATGGGTTTCTTCAGTAAGATAGGAAACTTCTTTCGAAATGTTGGAAGAGGTATATGGAATGGAATAAAAACTGTCGGAAGAGGAATTTGGAACGGAGTCAAAAATATTGGTAAAAGGGTAGGTCAGTTTGTTGGTATTATACCTAAAGACCCTGAACCAGAAGAACAAGCTCCTGTTATACAACAGCCTGAACCTGCACCACAGTCTAGTTGGCAACCAAATCCAACACCTCAACCGTATTAAAAATTATATTTTTACCGTTCGATAGTAGTTGTATATGAGACTAAGTTCTAAGTAAAACGCATGGTATAATGGAACTATTCTCTTTCTTCCATCTGTTGTAAACCATACTTGAAAGTCTGAAATACTTCCACTCGGTGGTTCATATAGCTTTGTAGGTTTTTCGTAAAAGTCATTTGCCAAGCATAAAAAAGAGTTTTGTGCACCAGAAAATGAAGCATGAACTATAATAGCATCTGAGTCGAAAACATTTTCATATGTTCCATTAGGGTTTTCGACTTCATAAAAGTCTGGGTGTACTGGATATTCTGCAGGCTGATTTAACATCCTCAAAAATCTATACCATGCCAAGTTGTTATATTTTGTAGAAATATAAACGTCTTCTCCAAGGTCTTCTATTCTATTGATTTAACAGTTGCATTTTTCCTGTCATATATAATATCGAGATGGTACTCTCCTTCGTCAATGTTGTACTGTTTTGCATATTCGAGATAGATATCGTTTATTTTTTCTTGAAAAGCTTGAAGAGTTGTTTCTAAGTTTACAAGCAAATTCACTTGTAAAAGTTTTCCCTGTTCAAATTTCTCATACGTACGTTTTTCTTTGTTATAGTATCGAACTTCAAAAGCGACCGTAAATGGGAAACCATGTATGGCTTCTGAAATGAACTTCATTCTACGAAAGCCAACAGCTTTTGTGACGGATGGGTCTCTTAACCATCTTAATGGGTAGTCAAAACGATAGCCTTCATGCTTTACGGTCTCTGTCTCAAACTTTTGACCGACATTCGTAAAAAGTTCATCTAATGGTTTAGTTGTAGCAACTCTTGAATTTTCTTTTTCTATTGAAAGCATATTTTATCTAGAATAAAAATGTCGAAAGAAACAGCGTCTATGAGAGAAATACAACACAACCGACAACTCATTTTGCAAGCTCTAAATAAGAACACAACAAACTTTTCAAACTATTCTAAGATATCTGAGTCATTGAAAGAAGGAAACTTAAAACTGACGATAAACCCAATGACAGACGAGTTTCTGTTTCAAGACAGTAAGAACCATACTGTTTGTATAAATCCAACAAAAGGAACTTTAAACGAGAAACCTATATCTGAACTTCTTTTGAAAGCAGATGTTAACAACAAAGCTGACAAAGAATATGTAGACGATGAGTTAGCATATCTGGCTAGTGGGTTAGTGAAGAAGGCAGATAAGGAATATGTGGATGAAAAAGACAATGAAATTAAAGAAAGGGTTGACTGGTACCATGAACGGACAACAAAGATTTTAAAAGAAAGCCGATACAGGATGGGTTTCAGGATGTTTAGACCTTAAAGCCGACAAGAACCATACACATACCATTGCAAATATTACAAACTTACAAGAAACCTTAAACAGGAAAAGTGACGTTACATACACATACCATTGCAAATATTGCAAACTTACAAGAAACCTTAGATGACAAAGCTGACAAAGAAACATACACATACAAGTTTTACAACTGTTGCTATAGAAAATATTGCAGGAACGGTTGAAGAAACTGGTGGGGATGTATTAGATTGGAAACCTCCTAACTTTCCAGAAGGTTTAACATCGGATGACGACATAACGACGATGAGAACATTAGATGTAAAGATGTTTATGTCATGAAGGATGAACATAATATTAAATTCACTGCTCAAGATTTATATGACAAGAAAGCAGACAAAACAGAGCTTCAAACATTAAAGACAGAAATACTTCAAACCATTTACCCGGTTGGTTCTATTTATACGTCAATGAACTCTACCAGACCAGAAGTAGTACTTGGTTTTGGAACTTGGACTCAAATACTCGAAAGTTTTTTGTATTGTGCACACACTCCAAAGAAAACAGGTGGAAGTAAAACGATATCTGTCGACAACTTGCCACCACATAGTCATTCTGGTACAACAAGTTCTAATGGAAACCATAGCCACTCATTAAGAGACCACCCATTATACAACTCAGAGTATGAAGCTGGCTATGACGTTTTATCTCCAGATTATAACCATTCAGCAAAAAAGACTTTTCGACAAACTGAACCAGGAGGAAACCACCAACATACTTTTACAACAACATCTACAGGACTAGGTAAAAAATACATGCCACCTTACATGACAGTTTGTGCATGGTATAGAATTGCTTAGTCGTCATTTTCAACTTCTTTAGCATATTCGTCAGGAGTTGTCTTATATTTGTTTGGAACTGTCTTTGAAAGTATACCACCTTGAACCTTAACAAGTTTGAAACGAGGTCTGACAATAGTAGTTTTATCTTCTGCTTGCAGTCTGTACATTTTGCCATGTTTGCCTAAAACTTCATAATATTCTCTTGTATACTTTCTTCTATTTTTACGAACACGAAGGTGAGTACCTGTCGAGTTCCCATTGTTGTCATAGTCAATAGTATTTTCATATGGGTCGCGTTTAGGTATTTCTATTTTTACTTTGTCACCTTTCTTAAGTTTGAAGCCTGGCATTCTTTCTTGTTTGTCTCTTTTGACTAAACTATTAAATATATAGTCTTTCTCTAAGTCAGGGTTGTTTTTCATTTCTTCAGGGGAATGGTTTCCCAAACCTTTTTGTTTACGGCTATTGTAAATATTTAAAACTTGTCTCATCTTTGCCATGGAGAAGTGTCTATACTTGTCGTCATATGACATTTCATCTACCTCACCA